CCGACCTGGCATTGAGCAGCAGCACCGTCAGGCCCAAGGGGTGGTTGATAAGGCTACGTGGCGCCCTCTGGTTGGGGGCAGAACCAGAAGGAGGGATAGGTGTCAGCCATCTGTCCATCCTTCTTCTACGTGGACATGTTAAGCCCCTATTGCTGTAATGACCATTGCCCATGACCACGCCAATGGCAGCACCCGTGTGTTCCCCAGGATATATAAACGTCGACATGGCCAGGGATGGCTCAAAAGCACTGATTAAAGCAGGGTAAAATTATAAAGCAGTTCGAAAGAGGAGAAAAAAAGAATGATAAAAAGAGAAAAAGAAAAAAAATCCTTTCCCTTCCCTAAGATTCAGCGGTAGGCAAGCCTATTTCAACAAGAGTCCTTGGCCAGCCCAGCCCCCCCTCTCATCCCCCGAACGGCTCCCAAACGGCGGCGACCCCTTTGGCCGCCGGCCTGAGGCTGCCAGCCTTGGCCGTGGCCGCTGCTTTGTGGCCTCAGGGCGCCTCCGAGTCCCGCCCCGTCGCGCACCCCGCGCGCCCGATCACCTGGGGCGGTGGGCAATGCGCTCCGGCGCCGCCTGCGCTGGCCGCTGGAGCTGGCTTCCATCGACGTCGTGGCAGCGCGCGTCTGCTTGCATCTGCTTGCACGCAGCGGCGGCTCTTTCCTCCAGCGCAATGTAGCGGCGTGCTGCTGGAGGTGGGCGGAAGTCTTTCTTGCAGCGCGGGATCGGTGTTTCCTGCCCGAGGGGCCGTTCCCTCCTGCCCGCGGCCGCTGCTTTGTGGCCGCAGGGCACCTCCGAGTCCCGCCCCGTCGCGCACCCCGTGCGCCCGATCACCTGGGGCGGCGGGCAACGCGCTCCGGCGCCGCCTGCGCTGGCCGCTGGAGCTGGCTTCCATCGACGTTGTGGCAGCGCGTGTCTGCTTGCACCTGCTTGCACGCGGCGGCGGCTCTTTCCTCCAGCGTGATGTAGCGGCGTGCTGCTGGAGGTGGGCGGATGCTTCCTCAAGGCACTGTATTTCTGCTACATACAATGTTGTTGTTGTTAGTCACGAAGTTGTGTTCGACCCATCGCGACCCCATGGACAACATTCCTCCAGGCCTTCCTGTCCTCCACCAACTCCTGGAGTCCACCCAAGCTCACGCCAACTGCTTCAGTGACTCCATCTAGCCACCTCATCCTCTGCCGTCCCCTTCTTCTTTTGCCATCTATTGTTCACAGCATTAGACTCTTGCTACATACAATAGCTGATTTTAATTAGGGAATATCTTGTTAACACGCTGTTAATAGATTCATAGTAGAATTCTAGATCTGTGTAATTTAGAAGAGAAACAATCTGTTATAAGTAGGTTTCGATTTCTGTTGAAGTTAATATACATTAATCATGGTATCACAAGCTTGATAGATATCAGTGGGAGTTAAGTATGGTAAACATGTGCTATGTTGTGCTAACTTTTTTTTTTAAATAAAACCTAGGAAGCTGATTAAATGATTCTCTGTTGTCCTAATATCTTATAATACATTGGGAAAACAGATGTTTTATGAATTATAGAACTGATTGGTTCTACCCTCTGAGAGAAATACATTCTTGGAGGAAGAGATTTGACCTTGGATTCCTACTCCTTGCCCCCACAGAACCTTTGCAGCTGGTCCTTCTGCATCATGGAAATTCTGACAATGGAAGGCAGGGAAGAGATGCCTGCCAGTGGCGTGGGAGTGGGTGTGTTAGGAAAGGCTAGCTCTCTTGTCCCCCAGACATACCCATAAATCTTTGCCAGCCCTCTGCCAGGAGTGGCACAGCTGGATTCACTGTGATTTCAGTGGAAGGGAATGAGTAAAAGGCAAGAGAAACCCTTAGTCTGGGTGAGAGGAAAACTGCAAATACACTTCTGCTGTGCTGGCATGAACCCTGCAGGTCACTAGATATTTAGGCTCTAACACTGGAGCACTTTCAATTAAGGATATGATTGTCGGGCTCAGGTCATTGCAAAAAATGTCTTGAATTACATGTTACATGCAGATATATGTCTACTTTAGTATTTTACTTGAGCATAATGCTTTTCTTTTTTTTAGATGACTTCTGCAACAAGAGAGCCTAAGTTTCCATTAGTAGCTGGGTGTCTCAAAGGACTGACTGCACTCCTGTATAACTTTACTAAATCCATGGATGAAGGTGTAGTATCTCTCTTATTTAAAAAATCCTAAGAACTCCCTGTCTCTGTGCCATTTTCTTAAGTTAAATTTGGACTGGGTAACTTTGAGGACCAATTTCCTACACCTGGAATGTTTTGGGGGCCACATGTTCACTCATGTTCTGCCAAATTTTGGCATCACAATTGGCTAATTGGTGCCAAATTTTGACAGCAAGCTTTAGCAGTGGCCTTAAAGTCCAAGTTTAGCTTTAAAGTTGGCCTTTTTAGCATAATTGATAATTCTTTTTAGGACAAAGAATGGGATAATAATCTATAATGTTTATAAACTTGAAAGCCCAGTTTATCAATTTGGTCTCCTATTGTGGTATGTTGTCAGCATTTTGTTGTTCCCAACTGTTGACAGTTCTGTTGCTTCAGCAAATTCAGCAGCAACCAGGACACCAGAGACTACACTTAAGTGGTGCAGGTGAGGGTACATACAGATTCCACAAATTATTAGCCTATTCTTCCAGTATAGGAGTCCCAGTGTAACTATTCCCCAAGGATCAGATATAAACAGTCTATAAGCCTAGCATCAGTTAGTTTTGGAAACAGTTTCCACGTTCTTTTCCCACTCCATTTCCTACTTCCATAATGAAGCTCATTCAATTGAATGCCAATTGAATGGATCATTTAGTTCACCCCCCTTTTCTGAGGAAGGATATATTTATATATAAATTTGCCTTAAAGATGCTTGTCCAATGTTCCTTGGAGATTACCAAAGGTTATGTTACAGCCTCCTTGGTCCAGATGGTTTGTTTCAGTAGGATTTTTTCCCATCCTTGGTCTCTTTGCATTCCTTGGAGTTTATAGTGTTTTCAGTACTAGGATACACATTTGTTTTCCCTTTTATTTTAAAATTATTGTAGATACACATTTGTTTTCACTTTTATTTTAAAATTATTGTAGATAATACCTGACCACATATTCTTTCTACATACTAATCCTGCCTTCCCCATCTCAATTATTTGATTCTTTCAAACTGTCTCAATATGATTGGTCCTCTAAAAATGTTATATTGTTTGTAGTTCCTCTCTGAACTCTTCAACTTCTTTGTAAACTTTTTAAAACTGGAATATTAAAGAGAGAACACAGTATTTAAAAAAAGTTGTGAATTTTTATTGTGCTTCTGATAACTTGCTGGGTTTTGGTGCATCCACATAGGATCTTTCTTCTGCATCCTTCCCCGTGTTAGTTCTGTAGCAAAGTGTGAATCAAAAATTTGATGACAGTAGGTGTGTCTGCATTGCTCTTATTTATTTTATTGCAGACAGTTGTGCAATCCTATACCTCTACCTAGAAGCAAGTTCCAGTGATTTCAGGGGTGCTATTTCTAGATATGCAGTTATAGGATTGAACCCAACAGAGCTTACTTCTGGGAGACAGGTACAGAAATTCATTGTTAATAGCTTATGATCTGTGAGGTAGACCCATGGAAGATCATTTTGGTTTAATCTGGTAAAAGGTCATCATGGAATGAAACCAAATCAATATGTTTGAATCAACTTTTGTAAAGGGCTGACTTTCCTCTTATAAGTTTAAATTCAAACTAGCACATCATGACTGTTGTGTGTGCGCACAGAGGAAAGGTGCCAGAATGTGCACAACCAGTTTATAGCTTCGATGGAAATTTGAGTTCAGACAGTAAAGACAAAGAACTTTTGGAATGTCAGCAAACTACAGGATCAGATCAAGACCATCCGAGGAATGAGGAGGTTTACTCCAGGTGGATTGAGATGATAACCTGTCCGCCTGCCCATGGGAACAGGGCAATAGCACAGCAAGAGGTGGAGATGGCAGCTAGGGCTGATGAGAGCCCTGATTCACCAATGGGAGAACAGGGGAAGGACTTGGAATCTGACCAGGGTGGATCCCAGGAGTTAAGCACTCTGTCAGATATAGAGGTCCCTCCCCCTGAAGAGGTGAGGCTATTGCTAGGGGACAACACAGGCAGGAGATCCAGTTGAGAAGCACCAGCAGGTGAGGTATCACAGTGCCCCACCTCTGGGTTGGTGTTGGAGAGGGCTCAACACTTCATTCTGGGTGAACTCAGATGTGCAACGGTAGAGATGTGTAACAATAAAGCCTTGTGAAAACCATAGAGCAGCATGTTTACTCAGGAGGAGGGTCTTGCCTCACTACAGTGACCATCTTGGCTTGTGCATTTTCTTTACAGATCCCCAAACTTCAAAAGAGATCTTCGACTTTGCAGTGAAGGCAATAAGTCCACAGGTATATGGGATGTCCCATCAAACGTCTTTCAAAATAGTAATTCTCTAGATAAGTGATGAACAAATCTTTTTATATTGATTCTTTTAACATTGCAGATTGACTTGAAGCGATATGCTGTGCCCCTTGGTAAGAACTTATTTCATATAGCTCTGTATAATAGTATGTCTTTGTGAGAGCATATTTCTTTTTGATGGAAAAAGTGTAGCATATTTAATATATTTTCATTTACAAAAGGTAAAATATAATTTTTCAAATAACAAAAGGAGGGCAGGCAAATTTGAAATTTAAGTTCTAATTTGTTTCTTTAAAGATATGGCTATTATAATCAGGAAAAGCAGAATTGCAATGTTAAAATCATTAAAATATGCTCAGTTGTCTAGCTGAAACCATTTATTGCCTTTAAATTATTATTATTATTATTTTACTTTGCAGCTGGTCTACATTTGTTTAGCAAGCATGCTGTTCAATTTGGTACTTGTCTTCTGGACAACTATGCCTTATTATTTGAACTAATGTCTAAATGGTGTGGCCACCAGAATGTAGAACTGAAGAAAGCTAGCAATTCAGCCTTGGATGCATGTCTTAAACAGGTAAAATACATATATCCCATAACTTTATGAATTATTAAATTACAAATATTAAACAATATGCATAATCTGGAAATTTGCACCAAACTTTTTCCATACTTCATTAGCTAACCGATCAATAAATACTGTCCAATAGAATCCAATAGAAACTTCTGTCTGCTATGTCTTTTTCTGATCTTTTTCTTTCCCTGCTTTTACCTCTTTGCTGTACTTTCTGTCCAGCCTGTTTGGACTTTCACGTATGCCTGGCTGTCTTCACAATCTTCTCCTTGTTGGAGGCACAGTTTTACTGTTAGAAGCATAAGAGAGTTTTCTGAAGTGGGAATCAATTGCTTAATGGGTGTATAGTGAGTTATTGTTGATTTAACTACTTAAGCAGCAGTGGAGATGGGAAGATCTGATGGAGGAGGAACTGTCCTATTCAGTGTGCTGACAGGTTCATGTATGCAGGTTAGAAAGGAGGAAGAAAGTGTTGTTACTTTTCCTCTTTCCCTCCTCTCCCATCTCATTTGGTGGTTTGTTTTTTCTTCATGATTTCCATTGCATTGGAGCTATTCGGAGGGAAACTATTTATTAATTTATTATTGAACTTGTATGCTGCTCTAATAGTTCTACAGGAATCTCTAAACCATTTACAACAGACGATAAAACAATATAACAATAAAATAAGTAAGACCAACACAACAATAATACAAAGTAGCAATATAACAGTAGCAATATAATAGCTGAGAGTTAAAGCATGAGACTTAAAATCATAAAATGATATAAAAATTCCTTTTTTAAACAGTATGTACTAAAATCAATTATTAAAATGTCTGGAAAATAACACAGTTTTTGCCTGGCAGAGAAAAGATTGAGGTAAACTACTCTCAGTAGGCTATTCCATAAGTGGGGTGCAATCACTGAAAAGCCCCTCTTCTATTTACTATCCTCCTCACCTGCTTGGAGAATGGCTTTTTCAAAAGGGCCCCTGAACCTGATCTTTGGGGTTGGGCAAGTACATATGGGAGCAGGCTGTCCTTCAGGTATCCTGGTCCCAAGCTGTTGACGGCTTTATATGTTAAAACAAAGCACCTTTAATTGGTCCTGGAGCTCAACTGCCAACCGATGTTAATATTGGGTATATCACCTTTATTATAATGACATAATACATAACAGTACCAGCTTGCACATGGTTCACTCGTGTTAGGAGTATCTTGAAGACTGAGAAATCTTTGGAGCCTGTGAATCAGAAGCCTTTTCCCATCCACTCATGATGCTCTTCCTGAACTGCTTCCTTTTGTCCCTATCTAAAGCAGAGCAGCAAGGGGCATGGTTTCCTATAGGGAGGCACAATCTGAGGTTCGTCTTTGTTCTCCATAAGGAAACCTCTCTCTCCCCTCAGAGGGCAAGATTTAATCCTGTGGGCCTTGGAATGTCATTTGAGGGACTATAGAATTGCAATCTTATTTAAATGTGGTCTCATTAGTGTCAGAACTAATGGGACCACACTTCTTTGTTCCTTGCATCATAACTTTAAAGTTTCAGAATTGTGTGTGCCAATCACGGTTTGTGGTCTTGGAGAAGTTGGTTTGGATAAGCTGCTGAATAGTTTTTGTTTCTGCTTAAGATCATTTTAATCTATGTTTCATAATTCAAAATTCAAAATAAATATTTATCTAATATTAAATTATATGTATATAATTTGCAGATATCTACAATGGTAGCAAAGGATGTAGAAATGCATAAGGATAAACTGCAGTTCTTCATGGAACAGTTTTATAGTATCATCAGAAGGATGGATGCCAGCAACAAGGAATTGTCCATTGCTATTCGTGGATATGGACTTTTCGCTGCGGTATTTATTTTACTTCCTGATGTAATGTGTTGTAGGAGTTGAATGTTAGGACCAGGAGCTCATTGAATTCTTAGACACTTTTTGTACAAATATTTCAGGTATCCTTCAACCATGGTATCCTTCTGGATAGGCTAGCGGGACTGGGGGTTGGAGGCACTGCTTTGCAATAGTTCCACTCCTATCTCAATGGCCGATTCCAGAAGGTGGTGCTGGGGGACTATGACTCTGCGCCATGGCAGTTATGCCATGGAGTACTGCAGGGGTCCATTTTGTCCCCCTTGCTATTCAATATCTACGTGAAACTGCTGGGAACTAGGCCCCTCCCCCTCCCTCTGACCATCTGCTGCCACCATGCTGTGACGCCGCCGAGCTGGGGAACATCGTGGGGCGCTCCACCGGAGCCCGGGGGACAGCTGACACCGCAGTCCGCGGTCATCGCTGGACCCACCGGAGCTGGAGGACGCCAGGCCGATCGACGCTGCTGCTGGAGGAGGATGCCATCTTTCTGGCTGGCGAGTGCCGTGTGGCCACCCTTGCTTCCCCGCCCTACCGGCGCTGGGGAGAGCCACGCCGGATTGGGGGCAGGGCGCAGGGACGAGTCGCTGGCTTATCTCACCAGACGCGGCCGGGGCCGGCGGCTGAAGGGCGACGGCCAAAGGGCGATCACCGCCATTTGGGGACCGTGCCGGGGCTGGGCTGGCCAGGGGCTTTTGTTGTCGGCCGGCGGGTGGGATTGCTAAATTGGATTAGGGGGTTGTGGGGGTGTTTAAGTGTTCCTAAGTGTTTTTAATTTGTTTTTAATGTGTTTTTAGTTCATTTTAATGGAATCGTTTTTGGCTTCGAATATGGGGTTGCCTGGGGAGCGTGTGGGCGCCACCATTGGGATGGTCACGGGCAATGAACGTTATGGCGTTGGGGGTCTAACATGTCCGTGTAGAAGAAGGAGGGACAGATGGTTAACACCTGTTCCTCTTTCTGGTTATTCCCCCAGCCTGAGGGTTCCAGGTAGGCTTGTCAACCACCCCCTAGGCCTGTCGGTGCTGTTGCTTAATGCCACGTCGGTCCATAATAAATCATCCCTCATCCATGACTTGATTGTGGATGAGGGGGCCGACCTGGCTTGCATTACAGAGACCTAGGTGTTGGGCGACCGAGACAGACTGGGGATTCTTTTGGTGCACTGTGCACCCTTCTGCCCAACAGACTCCCTGCTTGAGCTGACGGAGATCGTCTCAGATTTGGTGTTGAAGACCCCCAGGATGTTGGTCCTGGGGGACTTCAATCTCCATGCTGAGATGGTTCTGACTGGGGCGGCTCAGAACTTCATGGCCTCCATGACGGCCATGGGGCTGTCTCTACATGTCATTGGTCCGCCCCATGAACGTGGACACACTCTGGACCTGGTTTTCTCGATGGGGCAGGAAGAGGGTGATCTGAGGGTGAGGAACTTGTGTCTGACACCCCTGTCGTGGTCAGATCACTTCCTCGTGAGGTTTGAGCTCGAGAGCAGCTTTTCCCTCTGTAAGGGTGCGGACCCGATTGTGTTGGTCTGCCCCCGGAGCCGGATGGATCCGGATGGATTCCTGAAGGCCTTGGGGGATTTCCAGGCCCCTCCCCCTGGGAAGTCCGGGCCCAATTTAAGGTGTTGGTTATCACCTATAATGCCCTCAACGACTTGGGACCTGGTTATCTAAAGGAGCACTTGTGTCCATATATGCCCCTCTGCCCCCTGAGATCAGCGGCAGAGGCCCTCCTCTGGGAACCCTCCATGAAAGATTTTAGGAGGGTGAGTACCCGGAGGACGGCCTTCTCTGCGGTGGCGCCTCACCTATGGAATGCACTCCCCAGAGAGGTCCGCCTGGCTCCGTCGTTATTTTTTTTTTGTCGCCAGGCCAAGACCTTTTTATTTAAAAGTTATTTTAATTGTTAATTGGCTATTAATTGGGTTTTATATTGTGCCGAAATGTCTCCAAATTTTTAAGGTTAATTGTGTGAATTGTATCTGTTGTGTAAGCCGCCCTGAGGCTTTTACAAATGGGGTGGCATAGAAGTGTTTTTAAATAAATAAATAATCAGGCATGCATGCATTTTTGTTGGGTCTATCCGTGATGGGCTAGATTATGCCTTTTTTTCAATTGTAATATTTGTATTTTCTCTCTCTCCTTTAAAGCCATGTAAAGCAATCAATTCAAAGGATGTAGACTTCATGTATGTTGAACTTCTTCAGCGGTGTAAGCAAATGTATCTCACCGAGGCAGAAACCATAGATGACCATATGTATCAGCTACCAAGTTTCCTTCAGTCTATTGCTAGTGTTATATTCCATTTAGATACCGTAAGTCAGCAGTTTAAACCTCATTTGTGAAGTTGTTATTTTACAATTTAGGATGGATGTGAATATTAGTACGGGGACTTCACCAATTGAAAAAACTTGATTTTTTTAAAGTAGTGAATGCCCTTAATGTAAGATGCTATTTCCTAATATGCCATTCTTCTTTTTCTTTTAGATTCCTGAAGTATACACTCCAGTTCTTGAACGTCTTATTGTAGTACAAATGGATAGCTTCCCACATTACAGTGTAAAAATGCAGTCCACATGTTGTAAATCCATTGTAAAGGTTTTTCTAGCCCTGGCAGGAAAGGGACCTGTACTTTGGAGCGTTATGAGCACTGTGGGTAAGTTTTATTAATCTATAAATACTTGTTTCTTTGCACTAGTTCAAGTATCAGAAGCTTGAAATGTGTTCATTAAAGGTAATGCTAGGTTTAGGAATGTCATAATCTTTGATTATTTAGATCATGGACTCTCAGCCTAACCTACTTCACAGGTTGCCATTTTGAAGATAAAAATGGAGTGGAGGAGAACTGTGTAAGCTGCCTTGAGTTCCTTGCTAGTGGAAAAAAGGGAGGATATAAATGTAATGTAATAGCAGCAGCAGTTTGGCTTGGGCGATCGTTGAAATGCTGATTCCATTATTCAGTTTATATATTTAGTTGTATAAATATAGATTCCTTAATTTGCTATCATCCAGTCATTTTGGGGTACAACTCCCACCATCCTGAGCTAGCATGGCTACTTGTTTCTTGTATCTCCTGTATGGGAGATACTACTATCACTGGCTGTGTGGGTGGCAGTTTAAATCAATGCATTTAGGCAAGACATGGTTTTCACTGTAGAAGAGACATTTGCAGTTCTTTTACTTTTTAATGAGGTTGTTCTTTCCATTGGTCATGTATGTGAGTTGCTGCATCTTTTTTTCCCCATCTGTAGGTGTGGGCAGGGGGTGCTTCTGTGTGTTGACATCCAAACACTAAAGCAGAGTATCTGTAATGTGCTAACACTTGTTTTCTCAGATATGTGCTCTTGCTATACTCGTATGAAGCCAGGTGATTTGTGCAAGGTATTCTTTTCTTTGGTTTCCATCACCTGCATAGATGCATGTTTGGGCCTTTGTGTAACCTGCTAACTAATCTTGTATCTTCATGTTGGTAATGACGACAGTTGCTCATTATGGACTTTTTCAGTACCAGGAAAATGATTTGCTGATATATTAGAAAATTCAGCTATTTCTTTAGTTGACTTGATGATGTGTTTTTAATGTGTTGATATGTCTTTATTTTCAGTGCATCAAGTTTTAATCAGAGTCTGTTCTAAACCAATTGTCTTACCCCACCAAAAGGTAAAATTTGTTTATAGTTATATATGCTATTAATATATATAATGGGGGTTGTTTCTAGTTCAGCCAAGAATTTGTTCCTTCATTTTTTAATTCATGGGCCACAGCTTCAAAAATTGCAAGAGTTCTTTCTCATTTGCTTAAACCTCATTCCAGAAATCCTGTGAACCATTTTGACATGACTTGCCTCACCACTTACATATAAGGAGTTATATCAGTGTTATTGTTATCTGAACATATTAAACAAGGAAACCATTGACATAGTAAATGATCTCTCACATTTCGCAGTCTCTCTCCTCTCTCTCCTTCTCTCCCTCCTTCTCTCCCCCCCCCTCTCTCTTTCACACACACACACACACACACACACCAACCCATGCTGAGCTATTGTCCAGAGTCTGTGTTTCTTTCAGGTAAGCAGCTGCAGTGATCCAAGTGGTAACTCAGTGGCCTGGACACTCTTAGCATCTAGATAGTATGTCATCTTACCTGGAATGTGATGTCACTTTAAAACAACTGCAGTTAGGATTTCTATTCAGTTGTTTGTAGCTTTTTAATAAAAGTTGTGTTTGAGTTGCAAGTTGCTTATTGCGTCTGTTGGTTTTTCACTATTTTTTCTAGCTGCCTTCTATCAGTAGCTCCATGAATTTAGCCAAGGGCTGTCCTCTACATCTTCCAGCAACACTCCCCAGACCTGGTTTATTTATGATGATTTAGTTTAGGATTTCCTTAAATTCATCTGTAGAAAGTTTCCTTAAACCCTGTATCCCTCTTTAGAAAGGTGTGTCACACCCCAAACATTGGTTATCTAAAACAATTGAGCTAATGCATACATACCTGGCTGTTCTCTAGCTCTTGTCTATATTAACCTCTGGTGTGCAAAGAGTTCAGTTGCATACTGTTAACAGCATTTGGTGGCTAGTATTCAGTTGTTTTTTTTGGGATGCAGGTGGTGCAGTGGGTGAAACTACTGAACTGCTGGGCTGGTTGATCAAAAGGTCGCCAGATCGAATATGCACAACGGGGTGAGTTCCCGTTGCTCTGTCCCAGCTCCTGCCAACCTTGCAGTTCGAAAGCATGCAAATGCAAGTAGATAAAAGGGTACCACTTCGGTGGGCAGGTAACAGCGTTCCGTGCACCTCGGTGTTTAGTCATGCTGGCCACATGACCACGGAGACTGTGGACAAACGCTGGCTCCCTCAGCTAGGAAACGGAGATGAGCACCGCCCCCTAGAGTCAGGCATGGCTGGACTTCACATCAAGGGGAAACCTTTACCTTTACCTTTTATTCAGTTTTTATTTTCTCAGAGACTTTATTTGTTTTAATTGAAGTTTCAGATAAGGTTTAGTGGGAGGAGATATTATAATGTGCGATTTATACTGGAACTGTGCAAAGCATAGTTTAGGTATATAAGATTCAGGTAAAAGCAACTAACTAAGCTCTTACGTTATATTTTAGGACCTAAATTTTCTTCTGCATAGTTTGAACAGTATCTTTAAATATTTCTCTATTACTGTATGACCAGAACAGATGAGACATCTAACACTGAAACACGTATCTGCCTGTGTGTTTTGGACCATTTTTGGCTGTAGGAAAATGTATACTGCAAGATTTTAAACTATTTGAAATCTATTTAACTTACATTTTTTCATGAAGAGATTGTAACTCTGTGAGTTCATTATTATTCTCTGAGAGCTCAAAATCTTCATAAAATACAATTCATTAAACTTTTGGGGAGTATCATAATGATTAAAACATTTTCAAGCAATTTACTTACAGCGTAGATCTTTACAGTTTCCTGAAGTTCACGTGCTTACGTGTGTTGTGTTAGCCAGTTGCATCTTTTTATTTCTGTTATTGGATACATATACAAGTTCAAGTAATGTATCAAAGAGCCATTGTAGGATGCACCTTTGAAAATCATAAACCTTTGAACTTTGGAGCCTTACAGAATGTTAGGTGTGGCAGAGATGATCTTTGCCTCCCTGTCCTTCGTCCTGGCCTGCATTTCCACCCAATAGAACTCCATATGGGCTTTTTTCTTGTCTAATCTGGGAGGAAAGGAGGCTGGAGAGGCTTCAGGATTGTTCACATGCTAACCTTTCCAGCATTCTCCCATCTCTGCCCATTGAAACACCCCTTTTCCCCCTCCCTAAGATTTTTACCTGACCTTAGAGGACATCCAGTGCAGTTCTTTCCATGATGGCTGCAAGGGGGAAGGGGAATAGTTCACTATTTCCCCACTCAGAGGTTAGAATGCTGTCTCTGGCCTGAGGTTTGGGAATTAAAGCTATTCACTGGTACCTCAGACATTATCTATGGGGCACAGGCTGTTGTACCATATCAAAAATATGCTCCTGAGAACTGGGCTGTTCATTGAATGCTCTTAACATGTCTTGGAAGAATGGGTCTGAGTGCAGTAACTCTCATCCTTTTGAAATTAGGAAGCTGTGTTTGTATTTCTGTTATCATAGCCATCTAGGATTGTGGAAAGCTGCATGGTTTCATATATACTCATTTCAATATTGTGATACTTCCTAGGAATATACAGGAAAAGAAGTTTCTGGTTTAGAAGGAAGTCCTACATCTGGAGAAGTTAGGAGTGGGAAATGGAAAGTACCTACATATAAGGATTACCTAGACCTTTTCAGAAGTTTGCTGAGCTGTGACACCATGATGGTAAAACTCTAATGCTAGAGTATTTAAAGAACAAACTGTTACGATTCCATAATTTTCTTCTTACTGGAGAAAAGTATAAGTTTTTCTCCTTTCCTTCTTAGCGTGCACCCTCTTACTATCCTCTAAGTGGTTCCAGTTAGTATTTTGCTTTTTTCTCACCCTAGAATGTTCAGTCTTTGTTTTAAATGTGTGTGCTACTGAGCTTTGTATCTCATTTGAATAAAATAGGTTATAAACAAACCAAATTTTAGCTGTATATATATGTTCTGTGAGCTACTGGGCAAGGTTTCTATAGACATCAGTATGTTTTTACATTGTGTACACACTGTCTGTACCTGTCCATTTGGTATTTGCCCTGTTATTTCATCCTTTCCATTTATAATTTACCTCTTAGATCTTGTAGACTATGCCAATCTTTCATTAAGAGTATCATTTATACATGGTTCACACATGATGCCAATTCATGGTTTAATTAACTAATGAGTTGTTGTCTTACCCAGAATTAACACATGATTTTGGCTGCCGACAATTCAGCAAATTGTAGATCACTTTTTTCAATTTCTGGGTTCTCTGGCTCCTACTTTTTCACCTATACCCTGCTTGTATGCATTTGTGATACTGGCATGTAGAACAGCTGGGGTTTTTTCCTTACTCTTTTTATTCTTTTTTAAACCCTTTGTCCACTCCCTCTGTAACCAGGCAGAATGATACATGAATAACTCACAGTTTTGGATTCATACATAATGGCACCCCATAGTTCACAACTCTACAGCAAACCAGAGGATCTCTTTCTGTGTTGAATTTTGCAAACAGTATCTAGTTAATCCAGTGGTCTAGAGTCACATGTAACAGCAACCCACATGGTTAATTAAATCATGGTTTTTATTACATGAGAAACTAGTTCAGAGGATGGGAGATTTATATGACACATTAAGCTACCCTTCAAATAATTCTCACAATCAAATTGGAACAATCTGTTGAATACCCTGGGGACAATTGGACTCACAATGAGTTCTCCCAATTCTTCTCCTAATCCAGTCTACTAGCCTTTTATTTTCTTTCCTTTTCCTTCAAGAATATTTATCTTTTCTTTTTCCCCTTCCTTTTTGGCTTCAGAAAAATGTAATAGGCTCCTATATCCTTCATCCTTAGAAATATGCACAAATATCTCTCTAGTTTCTTTTAAAATTTTCTTTTGTCAGGGAATTAGACGAGTATACGTAACAACTGTCAAATATATGTAAATACATTGTATGTTTCAGCTGTCACAGTGAGTGAAGTACAGTTGGTAGCAAATAACAAAACCAACAAAGCAAGATTGCATATAGGCATATAAGCATCTCACTACTGCAGAAAGGAGCAGTATTAATTGCTGTCCAACTTTTTGCAGCAGCGACTGCTGTAGTTACTACAGTGATCTCACATTTCTTTTAAAAAATAAAAGAGGAGGCAACTGAATGGGATGGATTGAACGGAACCATGTTGGGGGCAGCTGGGTATAAGTCTCAGTTAAGCTGGTGCCCCATTTTCTCCATCCCCTTCTGCCACTTCCGAAGGTTTTTGCTGACTTGCACCTTTGTTAAACTGGGAAATACAAGAAAATGGCTTGTGAATAAATGCAGTGGAGATACATACAAATCTCATGGTAAATGGAGGAAAAATGTGTACATGTTTCACAGCTGGGAAGTAAATGGAAGGGAAGTTTGCATTGCGTTTCCCTTCTGTTTATTTTGCAGCCATTAAATCTACATATATTTCCTTTTTAATTATTTTGCAGACATTGTAGTACAAACAACTCTAGAATAAGCCAAAACTTGTCAGAATGACTAGTTGCTGAAAAGTAAGCCACCCTGCAGGAAGCAGTCTGGGTTTTAGACTACATGACAACTCATTGTGATATGTTACCCATGATAGGTTGCTGTGCTGCATGAACCCAGCTTTGACATGAGGCTTCTGTTATTAAACCTTACATGTTCTTGGACATCATATTTTATGAGAAATTTGCATAAATACAGTGGATATATCCAGTTATCATGCTAATTTGCTCTGTCAAGAAACCATGGTGGGTTGGCAGTTGCCCCAACAACTCATGGCTTACTCAACATATGACTCACCATGGACCCAGAAAGATTCCAAACAGTTTTTATTTTAACATTGCTTTCTCTTGGCAGCATGAGCTCTTCACCCTCTTCATGGCAAGAACCTCATTTTTTTTGTCCTGATTATCCTCAGTGTTCTGTACATTTTATACTTTTCCTCTAGCTGCTCAAGATAGTACAATTCCATTCTGTTTTCAGGGTAAGGAGTTTTGATAGCCAGCCATTTAAACCCAGACTTCTTTTACATGGGGTTTGACAAGGCAATGGCAATGGCCACAGTTTGGACTTGTCACTCACAAGCAAGCCACTCTGCAGGACATGGTTTGGGGTCATGTGACATTTCCCCTCCATTTACTTTGTAGCCATTAATGCTATGTATATTTTCTTTCTAATTATTTTTCAGACATCCTGGTGTAAAGAAGCCATCATGGGTTGTCATGTTGTATGAATCTAATCAATGTTTAATTTAGGGATAACTCTATGTAAAATAATTTTCGTTTTCTTTCAATGAAGGAATCTCTGTTGGGAGATGAAACCCCTCTAATCTTAGAATCACCACTAAAATCTCTAAATCGTTTGTTGTATGATGAACTCATAAAGTCTATTCTAAAAGTAATTCAAAAGTTGGACCTCACAGTTCAGAAAGAAAACATTAGTGAAGAAAAGGTAAGACTTTCATAGACAATACTTTAAAGCAAAAACTATCTCTTTCTGGTGTTCTGTTAAGCGTTTTCAGACTGTACTTACACAATTGAAATTGTAATTCCTTTCATAGTATTTATACTTGCTTTTTTTTGTGGCTTCTGTGTATCACATGTATGGGCTCTGTATCACCCAATGACAAGTGTAAATTTTCCTTGCCTCTTCTCAGCACTTTGCCATCTAGGCCATTGAAATTATGCTGGCACATTAATTAGATCTCCTAAAATAGCTATACATGCATTCTACCCATGGATTCACTGTCTCCATAGTTGCCTTGGCAGAATTGTGTTGGCCAGCTACTGGATTGAAACTGTCCATGTTTATGCACCACAGTTACCTAGGTATCCATGCCAGTCCTGATTCCTTTTTCAGTTAGGCCATGCCCTTGTCCAAGTAATAGCAGACTACTGGTAAGTCAGTCCTTTACTGACTGCTGGTAAGTGAGCTTTTTACTTGTCCATAAGTGTAAAGCATAGAAACCATGAACAGATTGTTTACCTGTAACTGTAGTTCTCCAAGTTGACATCCGTATATTCCCACATTGCATCCTATGTGCCCGCTTCAGTGTGATTGCCAAATTGGATGGGTTACTGAAGCTATTCTTGTTATTGATGTTGCTATCTTGGTAGCATTGATTGGACTTGTATTTTAAACCATAAGTTATTTTTTGAGATTGGTAGGGTTGATATATCTATCTATATCTATCTGTCAAAGGTTTTCCAAGCCTGACTTGGTCACTGAAGTTGAGTATTGAGAAAATGTACCCTAATATATATTAATCCAAGTATTTATTTATTTGTTTGTTTGTTTAAAACTTTTATATCTTGGGACAGCTTACAATATAAGTAATTTTATGCTATATATTAATCCAAGTAATTCAAAACGTATTATTTTGATAAAATAGCAAGGGAGAGCTTGCCTGTTGCACTCTGAATGGCACATGTAAGACAAGGACGAGGTTTGGTCACTGCCAGCTAAAAGCTCTGAGTCTGATATTCTTTTCTTAGGATGGAAATGAAACTGACACTAATCTCACCATTGCTACTTCTGATCCAGCTGCAAACCTTCAGCCAACAAAGCCAAAAGACTTTACAGCCTTCATTAACCTCGTGGAATTTTGCAGGTATGGTATGTTATGTCTATTTTAAAGAAAGAAAATGGGCATGGCACACAATTAAACATATTGTGCTGATACAATACCCTCCAACAACATACAGATGGCCAAACCTTTGGTCTGGAGATTGCATGATTCACAAGGTGTTTGTCAGTAGAATCAGTGAGTGGTTAGAGTAGTCACAGTAGACTTACTCCTGAATTTTATTGAATATAACTTCAACTAATCATTGGTCTGGGCAGGACAGTTCACTTGCTTGCCTTCTTCCAGTTTAATACAAGTTCTCTTTGTTGCTGTTCCTTTTATCCTCACAGAGAAGTCCTCCCACAGAAGCATGTTGAAAACTTTGGGCCTTGGATGTATTCATTTGGTTATGAGATAATTATACAGTCAATACGATCACCTCTTATTAGTGGATTTTATAAGCTCTTGGCCATTGCCATGAAAATTGCTAAGAAAACAAAATACTTTGAGGTAAGAAGGAGAACTCGGTAATTTGTTCAAGGTAGTACAATATTAACATTGGTTGGCGTACACATGAACATAACTGTGACAATTAAGTGAAAGATGATAACCAAAATGTGTCGTGGTTGAGGTGACTTTAATTTCCAGCCACCAAACTTCTGAAAGTAGGGGCACTAAAAGAAGGAAGAATCTCTGATGAAAATTTTAATAATTGGGGGTTTATTTTTAAGTAGGTAGTTCCTGAGGAACACAGCTTGCAAGTCATTCAGGGCTTTATAGGTGTCTGTTATGCTCAGAAATCAAGTGGAAGCCTGTGGAATTAACTTAAGATGTGTTTCCTGTTGCTAGTCCCAGTCTTCTGTGATCTGAATCAATTACAATTTTCAAATAGATTTTAAAAGGACATTTCAGTAGTCTTTGGACTTCCTTAATATACAACTCATTCCTTAATAGTTGTATATTGTCATCTAGGAATAACCCATTATTCAGTAAGTTATGTTAACAAAGCATAGAACACTAAGTCAAGTCTCACAAAATCTGTATATTCTTTTGTTTGCTAGGGTGTTGGTCCAAGCAGTAAAAAACCATGTCCGGAAGATTCAGAGAAGAATTCCTGCTTTGCATTATTTGCCAAATTTGGAAAAGAGGTGATTCTGTGAACTTTTTTTTGAAGCATGTGTAAAGTGCCTTTTGAGATACGGACACAGGCAAAATTTTACCTTTTCGACAGTTGCACTTGGTGTATAAGCATGATCCATATCCTTTGAGCAGTTCTAACTCATTAAACATCCACACTCATGTTACACCAGACCAATCACTAGTCAGATTATTACCACCAGACCTGGAATATAATTTTCAAGCTTTTACTACTCAAAAACCTGTCTGGCTGATTCAATGAAACCTAGTTCTGCAAAAGTGTGTTTAGGTTTACAGTTTTAATTAATTTATCTTAAAATTCCTGTATATTATTTCCTTATCCAATATTTTTCCAATATGCTTTGAACTACAGGTAGTAGTTATACATTTCTATGAAGACTTCTTATTTCTTAATTTAGGTAACAGCAAAAATGAAGCAGTACAAAGATGAGTTGTTGGCATCTTGTCTGACCTTTGTGTTGTCCTTGCCACATGATATCATCAAACTTGATATTAAAGTGTACGTTCCTGCTTTACAGGTGAGTTAGTATGGTGAATGAACAATAAACATGTTTCCTTTTGTAACATTTGAAAAATGTTTACTACATTTTACTTGTACAGGATCCATGTTCATACTAGTAAGACTTAAAATGTAGCCCTGTGCATCTTTATTCAAAATACACTGAATTCAGTGAATTCTCTGCTCCAGAATCTGCTTGGTGATGGAGCAGAATACAAATGCTGCAAATAAACAAAAGAATACATGAAACTTGTTTCAAAGTAAATATGTACATTTACTTATTTGTCTGTATTGTCACAACTAGGGAGAAATCAGAGGGGAGAGTTTGATTGAATGGCAAATCTATATACGTGCCGTATGTTGTGCTTGCACTCCTATTTGTGAATGTTTCAGTATTCTGCCATACCTAACATCTATTCCATTCCAAAAGCAGATTTTCTAAAGCTATAATATATTGGATATTTTGTAGCAGTGCCTGCTACATTCCATGCAGCGACAACCATTCATAAATATTTAGAGTCCCCTAGCATGTAACAGTTTTCTTTATGACTGTTGTACAGAATGCTTTTATACTGGGCCTTAGCTACACCCCAATGGCTGATGTGGCACTGGATGCACTGGAGGACTGGTCATCCCATATTCCCAGATATGTTATACAACCTTCCTACAAGGACATTTTGCCTTGCCTTGATGGCTATTTGAAAACTTCAACATCAACAGGTAAATACAATGAATGGATATAGAAGAATAAAGGATTTTGTAATGGCAGTCAGGTATTGACTAAACATATACTTGTTGGATTGACTATACTGGAAAATTGTTGCATTTGAGATTTTATTTTATCATTTACATTTAGCTTCTCTGTCTTATTTGACCTTTTAAAACTGATTGGTTCCAATTGATTCTGTGCATAGAAAACAAATTAATGGCAATTAGTAATACAGTATATCACAGAAGTGAGTACAGCCCTCACATTTTGCAAATATTTTATTATATGTTTTCATGTGACAATCCTGAAGAAATGACACTTTGCTGCAATGTAAAGTAGTGAGTATACAGCTTGTATAACAGTGTAAATTTGCTGTCCCCTCGAAATAACTCAACACACAGCCATCAATGGCTAAACCGCTGGCAACAAAAGTGAATACATCCCTAAGTGAAACTGTCCAAATTGGGCCCAAAGTGTCAATATTTTATGTGACCACCATTACTTTCCAGCACTGCCTTAACCTTCTTGGGCATGGAGTTCCCCAGAGCTTCACAGGTTGCCACTGGAGTCCTCTTCCACTCCTCCATGACGACATCACAGAGCTGATGAATGTTAGAGACCTTGCGCTCCTCCACCTTCCATTTCAGGATGCCCCACAGATGCTCAGTAGGGTTTAGGTCTGGAGACATGCTTGGCCAGTCCATCACCTTTACCCTCAGCTTCTTTAGCAAGGCAGTGGCCGTCTTGGAGGTGCGTTTGGGGTTGATACCATGTTGGAATACTGCCCTGTGGCCCAATCTCCAAAGGGAGGGGATCATGCTCTGCTTCAGTATGTCACAGTACATGTTGGCGTTCATGGTTTCCTCAATGAACTGTAGCTCCCCAGTGCCGGCAGCACTCATGCAGCCCCAGACCATGACACTCCCACCACCATGCTTGACTGTAGGCAAGACACACTTGTCTTTGTACTCCTCACCTGGTTTTTGTTGCCACACACGCTTGACACCATCTGAACCAAATAAGTTTATCTTGGTCTCATCAGACCACAGGACATGGTTCCACTAATCCACATCCTTAGTCTGCTTGTCTTCAGCAAACTGTTTGCGGGCTTTCTTGTGCATCATCTTTAGAAGAGGCTTCCTTTTGGGATGACAGCACTGCAGACCAATTTGATGCAGTGTGCGGCATATGGTCTGAGCACTGACAGGCTGACCCACCACCCCTTCAGCCTCTGCAGCAATGCTGGCAGCATTCATATGTCTATTTCCCAAAGCCAACCTCTGGATATGACGCTGAGCACGTGCACTCAACTTCTTTGGTCAACCATGGCGAGGCCTGTTCTGAGTGGAACCTGTCCTGTTAAACCACTGTATGGTCTTGGCCACCGTGCTGCAGCTCAAATTCAGAGTCTTGGCAATCTTCTTATAGCCTAGGCTATAAGGCCATCTTTATGTAGAGCAACAATTCGTTTTTTCAGATCCTCAGAGAATTCTTTGCCATGAGGTGCCATGTTGAACTTCCAGTGACCAGTATGAGAAAGTGAGAATGATAACACCAAATTTAACACAGCTGCTCCCCATTCACACCTGAGACCTTGTAACACTAATGAGTCACATGACACCGGGGAGGGAAAATGGTTAATAATGCCCAGTTTGGACAGTTTCACTTAGGGGTATACTCACTTTTGTTGCCAGTGGTTTAGACATTGATGGCTGTGTGCTGAGTTATTTTGAGGGACCAGCAAATTTACACTGCTATACAAGCTGTATACTCACTACTTTACATTGTAGCAAAGTGTCATTTCTTCAGGGTTGTCACATGAAAACATATAATAAAATATTTACAAAATATGAGGGCTTTACTCACTTCTGTGACATACTGTATATATTTTATTCTGTCCATCTATTCTGTTTATTTTGGATATGCATTTCAAACCAGTTCAGTGTGAATCATCTTTTTGCATGGATGAAATGTTTAAAAATGCACCTGCTGTTGTATGTATAATAAATGGGCAGTAATATTGGTTTCTTGCAAATTAGATGAATATGAGAATAATTGGGAAGTGAAGAAACTTTCCCAGGCAGTCCAGAAGGGGTTGAACAAAGTATTGATACAGCGACTGAAGAGAGCAAAGAGTCTTGCAATGGTAAAAAATTTCTTCCTACCTTCCAAAACAATGCTTTTTCAGCTAGAAGACCAAAATGGACATTTGTTTATTTAGACATAAATAATAAGGCTTCCATGACACTTGCATGTCAGATACATATATCTCACATTCTGCTCTGAATGACCTCTTGTTGGCTTCCTAATGGTAATTTTAAAATATGAATTCAAAGTATTTTTAGACTGGCTTATAGTGCTACAACCTTTCAAGATGGCTTGAGATTTTATATTTTTCTAAACATAAAATCACAACATGCAGAAAGCAAGAATGAGAGCAGGGGGAGGAGGAGATATAAGCCACTTTGAGTTGTTTAAAGGTAAAAGGCAGGATAGAAATCAAATAAATATTTTGGCAACTAATTAAATGCTAAATTAAAATTCTAGTATGATAATGGTTGGAAGATAAATACATTGCATCATCTAGCATTACACTGTTTGCAGCAGAGTTGTACTGGTTGCATTAGTTTGAAAGCAATACTAATTGGAGAATTTGTATCAGGGTTGCAGTCCCAACTTTAGGGTCCCATCAATTGGCGGTTTCATGGCTTTTCAACCGTTTTCTTCCCATTCTGAAAGGTTGAAATGCCTGTTCCAAGGCTTTATTACTAGAAGTGTTTTTAACCTAAAATATGCTACTATTTCTGGTATTTTGGCTCCACCTCTTGTTGCCTTTGGCATACATCCCACATGAATGCAGCCTCCAAAACCAGATTTGATCCTTGGATGAGAGAGGATTAGCATCCTGGATTGTCCATTAAGAGCAGCCCTTCTGGGTTAGAACAAGGATCCATGCAGTAACCCATTTTGTTTTCCGAAGGTTCAACAAAGATCCATTCATGCATCTCTTAAGTAGAGCATGAAGGCTCTGCTTACAGGCTTGTGTTGCTGTTCTTTTTTCAAGAATCTGATACCCAGAAAAATACTGTCTTAATATTAAGATCTGATCAAGTTTGTTGCTATAACTAATGGGCTCCATTGGAGATTCAGATTACTGGGTTATATGATACTTAAAATCTGATTGGCAAACCATTCAACATCACAATAGTCCAAGTCTATGCCCTAACCACTGGTGCTGAAGAGGCTGAAGTTGACCGGTTTTATGAAGGCCTACAACACCTTCTAGAATTAACACCCAAAAATGATGTCCTTATCATCATGGGGGATTGTAATGCTAAAGTAGGAAGCCAAAAGATAACTGGAATAATAGGCAAGTTTGGCCTTGGAGTACAAAATGAAGCAGGACACAGGCTGGTAGAATTTTGTCAAGAGAGTATGATGGTGATAGCAAACACTTTTTCTAACAACCCAAGAGGTGACTCTACACATGGACATCACCAGATGGTCAACGCAGAAATCAGATTGACTATGTGCTGTGCAGCCAAAGATGGAGCAGCTCTGTACAGTCAGTAAAAACTAGACCAGGAGCTGACTGTGGCTCAGATCATGAGCTTCTCATTGCAAAATTTAGGCTTAAATTGAAGAAAGTAGGGAAAAGTACTAGGCCACTCAGGTATGATCTAAATCATATCCCTGATGAATATACAATAGAGGTGACAAATAGATTTAAGTAATTAGATCTCACAGAGTGCCTGAAGAACTATGGACGGAGATTCGCAACATTGTACAAGAGGTAGCAACTAAAACCATCGCAAAGAAAAAGAAATGCAAGAAAGCAAAATGGCTGTCTGAGGAAGCTTTACAAATAGCTGAGGAAAGAAGGTAAGTGAAATGCAAGGGAGAAAGAGAAAGATACACCCAATTGAATGCAGAATTCCTGAGAATAGCTAGAAGAGATAAGAATGCCTTCTTAAATGAACAGTGCAAAGAAATAGAAGAAAACAATAGAATTGGGAGGACCAGACATCTCTTCAAGAAAATTGGAGATATGAAGGGAACGTTTCATGCAAAGATGGGCATGATAAAGGACAAAAATGGCAGGGACCTAACCGAGGCAGAAGAGATTAAGAAGAGGTGGCAAGATTACACAGAAGAACTGTACAAGAAAGAGATTAACATACCTGATAACCATGATGGGGTTGTCACTGACCTTGAGCCAGACATCCTGGAATGTGAAGTCAAATGGGCCTTAGGAAGTCTGAGCAACAACAAAGCTAGTGGAGGCGACAGTATTCCAGCTGAGCTATTCAAAATCTTAAAAGGCGATGCAGTAAAAGTGCTACACTCACTATGCCAGCAAATTTGGAAAACTCAGCAGTGGCCACAGGATTGCAAAAGGTCAGTTTACATTCTGATCCCAAAGAAGGGCAATGCCAAAGAATGTTCAAACTACTGCACCAGTGCACTCATTTCACCTGCTAGCAAAGGTATGCTCAAAATCCTACAAGCTTGGCTCCAGCAGTATGTGGACCAAGAACTACCAGAAGTACAGGCAGGATTTCGAAGAGGGAGAGGAACTAGAGATCAAATTTGCCAACATATGCTGGATCATGGGGAAAGCTAGGGAGTTCCAGAAAAACATCTGTTTCTGTTTCATTGACTATTCTAAAGCCTTTGATTGTGTGGATCACAACAAATTGTGGCAAGTTCTTAAAGAGATGGGAGTACCTGACCATCTTATTTGTCTCTTGAGAAGCCTGTATGTGGGTCAAGAAGCAACAGTGAGACCTGGACGCGGAACTACTGATTGGTTCAAAATTGAGAAAGGAGTTTGGCAAGGCTGTATACTGTCGCCCTGTCTATTTAACATATATGCAGAGCACATCATGAGAAAAGTGGGGCTAGATGAATCAGCAGTTGGAATTAAGATTGCTGGGAGAAATATCAACAACCTCAGATATGCAGATGATACCATTTTAATGGCAGAAAGTGAAGAGGAACTAAAGAGCCTCTTGATGCGAGTGAAGGAGGAGAGTGCAAAAGTTTTCTTGAAATTTAACATTAAGAAAACTAAGATCATGGCAGCTGGTCCTCTCACTTCCTGGCAAATAGATGGGGAAGAAATGGAGGTAGGAACAGATTTTATTTTCCTGGGCTTCAAGATCATCGCAGACAGGGACTGCAACCAAGAAATTAAAAGACGCTTGCTCCTGGGAAGGAAAGCTATGGCAAGTCTAGACAGCATACTAAAAAGCAGAGACATCACCCTGCCAACAAAAGTGCGTATTGTCAAGGCTATGGTTTTTCTAGTTGCAATGTATGGCTGTGAAAGCTGGACCATAAGGAAGGCTGAGCGCCGAAGAATTGGGGCCTTTGAATTGTGCTGGAGGAGACTCCTGCGAGTCCCCTGGACCGCAAGGCAATCAAACTGGTCAGTCCTAGAGGAGATCAATCCTGACTGCTCTTTAGAAGGCCAGATAGTGAAGATGAAACTCAAATACTTTGGCCACCTAATGAGAAGGAAGGACTCCCTGGAGAAGGACCTAATGCTGGGAACAATAGATGGCAAATGAAGAAGGGGACGGCAGAGAATGAGGTAGGCTAGATGGAGTCACTGAAGCAGTCGGCGTGAGCTTGAGTGGACTCTGGGGAATGGTGGAGGACAGGAAAGCCTGGAGGAATGTTGTCCAGGAGATCGCGATGGGTCGGACACGACTTCGCGACTAACAACAAAACCTGATTAAAAATAAAAAAGATGCATGTTTAAGCATGTTAGTAATATATTTTATGGATAAATTCTAAAAATAACAAACTGCCTGATGTAATGTGCATGTGGTTAAGAAACCATTGTTTGGCTGTGTTGCTAGATTTAGGCAACATGATAACTCACATTTCAACAACACATGACTCAGTAGCAACCCTTAAAGTATTGGCTATCGTCATCTGAACCTAATTCTTCTCTCTAAAACTTTTTTGCCTCTTGCTTTATATATTAAATAAATGCTTTATATATTGAATATATTCAAAATATATTATAGAGTGAGAGAGAGCCATTGAGCCAGCAGTCATGAACAGCCACTCTATTGCACAAAATTTCCCTGTTCAAATGATCAGTTGTGCTTTACCAGAAATTATTTATTTATTTAGGAGGCTTCTATGCCGCCCCATTCGCCGAAACCTCGGGGCGGCTCACAATAATAAATTAATGAATTACTGATATCATTGTGGTAAAACAGTTGCAGCAGCTACTGACCATCCCAATAGGGAGATGGTAGTGGTGTGTTGCTTGTGTTTAATTAATGCAGTGGTGGACTACACCACTAGCCCAAATAAGATCCCTGCTGTGGAGGGCTACAAGTAACAAAACCTTTACCTTAAGGCTAAAAGCAACTTGATACAGTATATGTTATTTCTCATAAACCTTTCCTTAAACTCTCTTGCAATAATTTTCTCTAGGAGGAAGATCTTTCATTGAATCAAGTAAGAACTAGAGTTGTACGCCTTCTCGGATTTCTGGGTGGACAAATCAATCGGAATTTAGTGACAGGTGAGCATTCAAAAGTCTGGCTTGAAATGTCAACCACAGTTCATTCCAATTTGTCAATTAGATCAGTGTGTTCTGAGGCATATCAATTTCTAGTCTTTGTGATGCACCACTTGATTATTTTCAGTAGCTTTGTGTTTGTAATGCAGTAGATTATATGGTTGAACTTATTGGTAGTTACACAATAAGTACTATTTTGTACCTAATGGTAGCTCTGTTTGCATTATGGGGTCACTATGTAAATTATTCTATCAGAATCTCTATTTATACCTGTCTATAAAAAATGTTTGTTTGAATGTCATCTATGTACTTTGGCCAAAGACAAGCCCATTAGCAAGTACTGGACAGACCCATCTGATTTAAGATTCTTGCCATATCCAGATTTTGTGCAAATTGCATAGATTGTGTTCTCCTGGAAATGCTTTCATGTGTCTATCCGTTTGAATCTTTTCAAATCATTAAGCATCCCAGACACTAAGTTGGAATTGGGTTTACATGAGTTCCAGGTTTGTAAATATTCTTTCAAAATAAATGTGACTTGCTCCATTTCTATTTTTCTGGTGTTTGGTTGAACAATGTAATGGCTGAATCATACGTTTATTTACTCTGTGTCATCAGCATCCTGATGGCACCACACTCCAAAACTTTGGATCACCCCACTCAGTTATTTCATGTAGCTATGGTAACCAAGAGTGACTCCTGAGGCACTCTATGCTGGAGAATCCATGGAATTGATTAATAGTTTTCAAGTACCACCTTCTGTAACTGGGTCTCCTTTACCTTGCCATCTTCTCATTGTGACTTGTTTCTGATATGCAAAGTATCCCTAGTCAAGAAGCAGAAGCCTTCATCAAGGTCATGTCTCCCAACTGTGAAAGATATGCCATATCTTTCACATCCGAATTTCATATCCAGTTTTCATATCCAAAGTGTCACCCAGTTCTGGCTTTTGTCTAGTTGAGAGGTCTGCTAGAACTGAGTTCTCAATTTCCTGGTTTCCCATGGCTAAGTTTGGTTCCACAACAGTCTTCTCTGACTTAAAATTGGTGTCACAGGCTATAGATTCTTCAGGAGTGAGATGATTCTTGTCAACCACTCCTCTTTCTGGCCGATCTATTGCAACTGTAAGCAATGCAGAATTTTCACCCTAGCATAATGTCCCAGAATGTGAAAAAATCAGAAGCACAGGCTGTGTTTTTATTAGCATCAAAAGATAATCACAAGACTTACTGGTTCATGTCCTGTTTTTAAAGTAAAATAATGTTTGTTCTATATTTTTGATCATAAAAGAAAAAAAAAATGAAAAGTTTTATGCAGGTGTTTGAGAGGAAACTTGATAACACACCAAAACAAGACATGGCAATAATTGTAGGTGACTTGAATGCAAAAGGAGGAAACAGAGCAGAATCAAATAGTGTAGGAAAACTAGAAATGATCATCAAGCATAAGGATGTTTCAAGGCCAAGATTATCTATACTATGTATGGGTGTGAAAGCTACTGACAGGAAGAAAATTAACTCATTCAAAACATGGTGCTGGAGGAGAGCTTTATGAATTCCCTGACTGACAAAAAGATCAACAAGTTGGTCCTAAATCAAATCAAGCCAGGGCTTTCCATAGAATCAAAAATGACAAAACAGCCATATTTTGTACATATCATGGGAAGAGAATCTCCCTGGGGAAGAGAATCATGCTAGCGAAAGTTGGATACAGTAGAAGAGGAAAACCAAATAGGAGATGGCTTGACTCTACATAAAGGAAGCCACAGCCTTGAATTTGCAAGAACTGAGCAGGGCTGTCATCAATAGAACATTTTTGAGGGCTTTTATTCATAGGGTTGCCATAAGTAGGAGATGACTTGCTGGCGCACAACCACCACCATAAAATTTTAGGAATGTATCCTGTAAATATACTTTCTTGGTTGTATGGTGGACTGCTGCTGTTTCTGAACACCATCTTCCTTGCTGTTTGTTCCAGTAACATGCCACAAACTAAAATTCAACATTGCTTGTTTCTCTCAAGGAGATAATTAAAATCATTAAATAAAAATGTGTGCTTAATATATTTCAAAAATACATCGGACAAATGTGAATTTATTGAGCCTTTCTGGTAACTTGGTTTAGTTGAAAGGTCTGATTAGCATAATGCAACTTTTTTTCTTTTTTCTTCTTTTCCGAATATGCTAGCTGCATCTTCAGAAGAAAAGATGAAGAAGTTTGTTTCATGGGACACAGAGAAGCACCTAAGCTTTGCTGTTCCTTTTGCTGATATGAAGCCTGTTATCTACTTGGATTTATTCTTGCCTCGTGTCACTGAATTGGCTCTTACTGCTAGTGACCGGCAGACAAAGGTATTAGGATTCCTGTTTACTTCTTTTAGTGCTGTGAAGCTGATGCTACTGTGATGGAGCATATGAAGACTTTGAGTTAAGTTTGAGATACAAAGATCATGATGTTCTTAACATTCTTGGGATTTTTTTCCCTTTGCATGCCCTTTGAGCCATTTGATGGCTTTAGGTTCATATTGACTCATAATGTTCCCTGTCAGGTGTGAGAGCAGACATACATAATGGGTTAAGTCCTCACCACAGACAAGAGGCTGGAATCTGATTTGTGAAGGAGAGCCCTTAAAGTGGTAGAAGCATTGGCAGAGAACCCCAACTATGGCATAGGTTTTAGAGGATCTACCCCATTTTGTTGTGCCTCAGATTTTTTCCCTCTCAGTCTTTGGGAGCTTCAGAGATTGCTTCCTTCCCACTCAAGCCCTGAATTCAGGTTGTATCTGCTGACCCATGGCTGTGCCATCATTGATGCTCATTATTACATTGCATTTAAATCTTGCCCGTTTTCCTCTTGTGAGAGGCCTAATGTGGCTTACATAGCTACATTTTATCCCTACAACAACAACCCTGTGAAGTAAGAGCCAGTGTAGTGTAGTGGTTAAGAGCATGGGACTGGGACTCAGACAATCTGGGTTCTAGTCCCTGCTCAGCCATGGAGCCATGGCTTTAGGCCAGTCACAGACTCTAGGCCAGTCACAGACTCTCAGCCCAACCTACTCACAGGGTGGTTGTTGTGGGGATAAGAGGAGGAGGAGATGTAAACTGCCTTGAGCCCTTTGTAGGAAAAAGGCAGGTTATAAATTGAAAAATAAATAAATAAATTCATGGAGACTATCAGTGGCTACTAGCCTTGTTGGCCATGTGCTGCCTCCATTATCAGAAGCAGTATGCCTGTGTATACCATTTCCTGAGGAGCTTGGGTAAGGGGAATTCTTACCCGTCTTGTTGGAGGAGTATGGACAGCTGGATTGTTACTATGTGAATGGAATGTTGGACTGGATGAACCATTGGTCTGAACCTGCATGATTATTTTTACATTCTTAAGGTATTAGTATTGAAGCTACACTTAGTTCTTAAGCTGTGGTGGGCATTCTCAAGGAACTGAGGGAGTAGACTGGAACTGGGATGTACTGAGATGGTGGGGGAGGGTTTCCTTCAAAATTTCTTCAGCTGTCCAAGTTGCTTGAATATGCGTATACACAGATGACCACTTGACCTCTCCAGTTATAGATAAGGAATTTGCCTTTTTCATGGTCCATGTTACTTTATACTTAACGGGGTGAAGGCAACATGGTGAGGATATCAGTTGTTTCATTCATGCATCTTCTACCTTTTCCTTTCATTCATTCATCTTCTGCCTTTTCATCCTCTTAAATGAGAATTTCATTGAAGATTACTTGGGATCAGCTAGGCCTTAGTTGATCTGAATTTTTTAAAAAAGCATTTTTGAGATAGCAAGGCTCTGATAATGCCTGCACAATGCTGCAATACTGTTACTTTAATGCAGCAGTTAAGAGAAGGCAACTAGCAGTATATAGATAATATACTAATTTTATTATCTATTTGGTTTTAAATTTATGTTCTTCCTTTTTTCCTTTTGCAAAAAACTCAAAGCAGTCTACATTAGCCACCTTTTCTTCATTTTATCCTCAAAACAAACTTATGAAGTAGGTTAGGCTAAGAGTCAGTGACTGACCCAGAGCCACCTAGTGAGCTTTATGGCAGTGTAGGGTCTAGAACCTGGGTATCTCCAGCCCCAATGCAACACGAACCATGGACACCACCTTGGAATAAAATGTTCATGGATTCCAGCCCACTTCATCAGATGCATGGAGAGTTACCTATGTTGCAAATGTGTATACACACACACACACACATATGGAGGTGGGAAGATGTTAAACTTTTAAGTATAATTTTTGTTTATGTTAAATCAGTCTTTCATCAAATATGACTTGCTGATAATTAATAACAGTAATTTAATTGGGAATGTGCATAACACTGGATTAATAAAGTGTTTTCTCCAAGCAAAGTTGGGTGTATGGAAGTTTTCCTTAGACAAAATTATGTATAAAGAAATAAAGGGATGGAAATTCTCCCAGGTAGTCTTTTCTTCCCATCTGTTTCTCTTTGTGGAGTATGTACTTGACTTAATTGGCTGTTATCCTTTTTCCCAGGTTGCAGCTTGTGAGCTTTTACACGGCATAGTTGTATACATGCTGGGGAAAGGCTCTCAAATGCCTGAAGGACAGCAGAGTTCTCCACCAATGTCTCACTTGCATAAACATGTATTTCCTGTACTGCTTCGGCTTGCCTGCGATGTCGACCAAGTAAACCTGATTTTGTTGCTAAAAACCAGCTCTATTGCTTGAATTAAATTTTAAATAGTAGTTATTGTTGTTATTGCATTGCATTGATAACTTGTCCTTATATCTGTTGTGGGGAACCCAAGGCAGCTTGCATAGCTCCGTTTTATCCTTGCAATAACAGCCCTGTGAAATAGATTAGGTTCAAAGTGAATGAATGGTTCGAAGTCACCCATTCAGTTTCATGGCCAAGTGGGGACTAGAATCCAGATCTCCTGAATTCCCAGTCCCAACACTTCACCAGTGCACCACAATGGCTCTCTTGAGTGGCCCCTTGAGTGTTTTTACATTTAATCAAGCATGTCTCCTTTGTAGGAAATCCGTGTTCAGAACAACACCTTTCCTATCCAAGAGAGCCATCTTACAAAGAGCCAGATACTCAATGCCTGACTGATACAAAATTTTCATGCATTCTCTGTGATGCAAATTGACCAATGGCTATTCACAAATAGGCTGATTTACTCAGCAAAATGGACTGAGAAAAATAGCTCTTTAAAAAAGGAAAAGTTAAGACTGTTCATTTTGCTATCTTTGGTATTTAACTAAATCTGACAAGAAGAGTCTGCACTCCATATTTTCAAAGTGCACTCCTTTAGCTTTCTGAAGATGTATTTGTGGGAGAACCTCTAAGTTTTGGAACCACTTAATATAAGCATTAATCTAAAATATAAGGTAAATAATTCAATGTTGCTTCATTTTTCCTTTTTAGATTACAAGGCAACTTTATGGGACTCTAGTTATGGAGCTAATTCACTGGTTCACAAATAACAAAAAGTTTGAAAGTCAGGATACAGTGATATTACTAGAAGCAATTTTGGTAGGTAATTGGTATTGAAGAAATGAATTCTAAATATCTTTGTCAATGTTATAAACATTCAACTTTCTTTTCAAGTATATTGTGTTACGTTGTACATTTAAGCTTTTGAATTGTCCAGAGAGCTTTATAGTATAGAAGTATAATAAATGAAATATATCTGATGTTGTTTTGATGACAAAGATTTTATTTTGCCTTAGCATACATCATTGATTTGGTTAAATATATGCATGTGGACCATCTCCTTAAACTTTTTTATTTCTTTTGTCTATCTCTAGAAATCATATTTTGTAGAACCCAACAGGATTTTCATTAATTTTTAACCAGACCTCTATTCCATTGTTCATAAAATACGACTACCCTTCCCTGCCCAGTATTTTTGACTTAGACTGGTTTCCAGTCCATTTTGAATTCCAATTCAAACTACTGGTTTTAACTTTAAAAGCTCAAAACATATAGGGGCCAAGTTACCCGAAGGATTGCTTCCTCTTGTATATTCCTCTGTAGGCATTTAAATCTTCATTGAAGGCTGTTCCTTAGGTACCTTTACCTGAGGTGAGGAAGGTGCCCTAATTATTGAATGCCCTTTCCAGAGTGGCTTGCCTGATATTTCTGTTAGAACTTCTTGGCATCAGTTGAAGACTCCTTTATTTTCTAGAGTTTTAAAATCCCTTTTCAATGCATTTTACTCTTGGAAATAATTGATCTATCCTCTGCTAGCTTTCAGTGTAATCTTTATATTGATTTTTAACGCTGATTTGTTCTGTTGGATCTATGGCACTTTCTGTGTTTTTAAATAGTATGTGTATTATTCTTGATTGGTTGATTGTACTTGTATACTTATATTTTAAAGCTTTGTGAACAAGCCAGAGATCTTGTTTAAATAGACTCTCTTATTTTATTAGATTTATATCCCACCTTTTTTCTTACAGAGAACTCAAGGCAGTTTACATCATTCCCTCTCCTGCTCTCAGTCTTATCTCCTCAACAGCAACTGGGTTGGGTGGGGTGGGCTGCGAGTCTGTGACTGGCCCAAAGTCACCCAGTTGGCTCCACAGCTGAGCAGGGCTAGAATTCAGATCACCTGAGTCCCAGTCCCGTGCTCTTAACCACTACACCACACTGGCTATCATATCTTGTGAACCAAGACAAAATACTTTTGAATACTATTGCAAAAGTTGTTTATAATGAACCGACTTTCTTTTTTGTTTCAGGATGGGATAGTTGATCCTGTAGACAGCACCTTGAGAGATTTCTGTGGTCAATGTGTCCGTGAATTTTTGAAATGGTCCATTAAGCAGACTACACCACAGCAGCAGGAGAAAAGTCCAGTGAATACCAAGTCCCTCTTCAAGAGACTGTACAGCCTTGCCCTCCATCCCAATGCTTTCAAGCGGTTAGGAGCAGCACTTGCTTTTAATAACATCTACAGAGAATTTAGGTGAGCAACAGAAATTAATACTTCTGTGAAGTTGATAAAAATAATATGAAGACATAGATAATGTGAAACAAGGCTTTAATATTAACCAAAATATTTTGTTATGTACTAATTTTTAAAACATATTCTACAAACAGGTTTTGTTTATAACTGTTCTCTGTGGTTTAATACAGCTTCAGACTTTTGAGATTCTTCCTCTGAGGCCAAACAACAACTTTCAAGAAATTTGGGCAGAACTTGTTTTCTTCTGAGGCCAAATAACAACTTTTGGGGGATTGGGTAGAGGGACAAAATATTCTTGTCTTGAAAAGATTTTTATCTTGTTCGATTAGGGGAACTTGCCTTCTGTTGATGTGGTTTGGCTCACTTGATTGAATAATTGATTGATTATTGGTTGATTAATTGAGAGCCAGTGTGGTGAAGTGGTTAAGAGTGGAGACTTAGACTCAGGTGATCTGGGTTCTAGTCCTCTTCTAGCCATGGAGTCAACTGGATGACTGGGATAGTCAATCTCAGCACAAACTACTTCACAGGGTTGTTGTTGTGGGGATGAGCTTGAGTAGAGGAGGAGGAAAATTATGAAAGCCGCTTTGAGTTCTTTAAAAAAGAAACAAGGGGGATATGACTCTAATTAATAAATAAATAATAGCTGGCAAGACAGGAGAGGGTATTTTCAGCTTTTGTCTCCTTGCTAAGCAATGTACTCCTCAATTATGCTTTCTTATTTCAGTCAACATAAAAAGCATGCTTCTTGTCTTATACTTATCACAGTCTAAACCTTAATCTGTTTTCCCTTTTTTTCCAGGGAAGAAAGTGCTCTTGTGGACCAGTTCGTCTTTGAAGCTCTGGTTGTGTACTTAGAAAGTCTGGCCTTGACACATGGAGACGATAAAGCTTTAGGTGCACATTTGTAGCTTTCTTCAACGTTTTATGACTAAAGCTTACATTTGGTGCTTAAAAGACATGTAGTCCTAAAATGTTTGGCATTTTTCTCTTTCTGCTTCAGAAGCTGTTACAATGTTAGCATTGTAAAGCACAAGCACACATAGAATGCGCTGTAAAACATGCTGATAGTCATACATATCCAAGTGTAGGTTTCTGATATGTATTTTGGGGTGTTTCACAGTTTGCAGTGATTACTTAACTATTAGGCTCTTCTTTTACATGTACATTTTAAGCATAGGGCACTAGAACAGAAACAGTCCTGATCTTTTAGAAATTGTATTTGACACCTTTTACTGAATACATCTTTTCACTTTGAAAACAGGCACAACCCAACAGTGTTGTGATGCAGTTGATCACTTGAAGCGTATAATCAAACGTAAAGCACCTATCTTGAACAAAGAAAGCAATCGGAGAGTACCTCGGTTAGTAATCTTTTTGGTGTTCTGAGGGGCCCATTGTGTGTGTGGAAGGGGTGAGAGCGAGAGAGACGTGGGGGGAACCACATAGTATTTTTAATATATACTCGTATCATTACATATTGGAGAGTCAGTCTGACATCATGGTTAGAATGTGGACTGGGACTTGGAAGATTTGAGTTTTAGTTGCCCCAAAATCCCTGAGTTCACTTGGTGACTTTGGGTCATTCGCTGACTCTCAGCCAAACCCACATGACAAGGTTGTTGTGAAGTTAAAGAGGAGTAGAGGAGGGATTATGCTAAGCTGCCTTGGGTTCCTTGCAGGAAAATCATGGAATATTGCTATACTAATTATGATAAATATATCAAATATTTTGAATACACTTGATAAAGCTTGAAATCCTATACACTACCCAGCTAGTACCATCAGCTGTGTGATGGAGAAAAGTTGCTGCTCTTGTAAGCTATTTGCAGCACCAAGAGAGTGATCTTCATTGGGCTCTCTTGTGCATGAATTAGTTATATCCTCTATTGCTGGTGCATATGAAATGCTTAATTTGCTATTTAAATGGACAAACAGAACAGCAACTTGCCATGCTGGATTCAGTTTACAACTTTAGACATTTTTGTTATTTTCATCTAGGGGATTTCCACCCACATCAGTATGTCTGGTGGATGTTGTCATGTGGCTTTTAACACAGTGTGGACGACCGCAAACAGAGTGCCGACATAAAGTCATGGAGCTTTTCTTTGAATTTGTTCCATTGTTACCAGGTTTGCAAATTTCAGAATGTGTGGATAGCCTGTTGTTAGTGTTGGGTATTGACCAAAAGACTGTGGTTTCTAAGTTCAAACATTACCTCTGCCATGAGATGAATAAGTGGTTATATTCTTTCAGCCTTGGTCTCTCTTAAATGACTCCACACAAAGCTTTAATCTATTAGTGAAAAATGGGATCTAAATAAAACTTGTGCGATTCTGCATACCTATAGGTTGTTTAAATCTTATTCAACTCAGTAAGATTTAAGCAGGTGAACTGTGTGCAGAATTATAGTCTAAGAATCTGCTAGTTTTTTGCTTGTAAAAGTACTGTGAAATTATGTACATTATAGATTTCTTCTCATGATACTATAAATAAATAAAAACTGTGAATTTGTTACATCCTACCTAGGAGAGTCAACTTTTGGTTACTAAATTCTTCTTTTGGGTGGTAATGAATTCACATTATCTAGGTATAAAGTCTGAGGACAGGAGGAAGCAGGGTAGGCTTCCTTAAGCCATCTTTTCCACTGATCAGGAAGTTCATTAAAAAGGGAAATAAACTGTAATTTATATAAAACAGGTTAGTTTTTCATAGACTAACCCCTGTTTGGTTGTGCTTTTTAAATTATAGACATAGAATTGGATGTCTGTAGGAGTTTTATCTAAAAATCTTGTATTTGTGTTTTTCCACCAGGAAACAATTCTCCATCCTCATGGTTGAGTGATGTTCTTCAGAAAAACGGGATCTGCTTTCTCCTAAAGAAATTTGAAGGAGGGGGCTATGAAAATGAAAATGTGTCTGGAATCTTGTCCCATCCAACTCTATATGACCTGCAAGAGGCCTTTAATTTGAGAGCTACCGTGCAATGGATGGATATGCTTCTAAGTGCTTTGGATTGCTATAATACTTTTATTGAACAAAGAGTGATTACACCAAATGAGATACTAGGTAGGTAAATCACAGAAAGGGCTTTTTTGATTCTTCTTCCTACATCTACTACAGCAAAGAGCATTGTGAAATAATATTTAAATTATGAGGTTTTTAAAAAATAACATATACTAGTGTGAAGGAAACATTGTTTCAGAAGAAAAATTGAATGAAATTTTAGAGTGCTGAAGCACATGTAATTGTGCCATTATTCCTTTCACATAATTTTCATGTCTAACAGTATATGACTGTATTTTGCATTTTGTGGTAACTCTTTCATGTTCTCATAATTGCTTACAGTTATAAATAAAGGATCTTCATTTCTGACATCACTGAAATTCTTCCTTGGAAAAATTGCCTTGCATGATGTGTCTGGTGCAGAGCACTGTTTTAGCATTGGATCCAAAGGCAATGTATTTAGTCCACAGGAAAAAGAAGAATACAATTATAGCAAATGTACAATTATAGTTCGTATTATGGTTTTTGTCAGCATGATTTTGGAGACCCAGCAACAGGATTTCTGGAAGGTAGGTTTTGGTCTGTCGGTCAGGATCCAATCAAAGCTGTACTCAAGGGGACTAAGGGCTTAGGCTGTGTGTGTGTGTGTGTGTGTTTTTTTTAAACAGCCCCAGCTTTTCTTCTGTCATGACAAAGTACTTTTGAAAGCTGTTTGTTGGGTGGCATGGGGTCAATTTGAAGAGTAATAAATTAAGAGACAAGCCCTTTCCATAAGCCTTAAAAAGTGGTTTGGTTCCTGGTTGTGTTTGTGCCTCATAAAATGGACTCTGCAATTAGTGATATTATACTAATGAAAGAGTGGCATATCCTATTCCATTGCATTAATTATTAGCTAAGAAGAATAGATTACCTTTTATCCTAAAGAAAAATCCTATGAATACTTTCTTATGAGAGTAAGCTTCATCATTGTCAGGGGGTTGAACTTATGGGTAGATGTATCCTAGTTTTGGACATAATTTAAGTTAATTTTTAAACTAAAATATAATGGCTGTCCACATAACAGTGATTCAGAAATGTATGTATATTCTTGACAATTAGTTCAATTACTTTTCATCCATATCCATACAGAACAGATTAGCCATTCATATAATACAATCTTGAGTTTATTAGTTGTATTTTAAAATATGACAGAATTTCAAAAAGAAGTGTGTGAAGACTGAAAGGACTATTTTATTCTCAGACAGAATCTTTAATATTACATCTTAAAGTACTTGCAAATGGTTGGGTTTCAAAATTAAAACAGCTTGTCTCATTTTTAATTTTATCATTCTTAGCTGCTTGAAAGAGAGTTACTTAATGACAATCTGATAGAACTCATTGCGACAACCATCTGTGACCCCAAAAGTGTAGGCTTTAATGTAGCTGATGTACAAGTTATGGAAAATCTCCCAAATGTTTGTGTGAGGCTTATAAAAGCTTTGATGAAATCTCCATATAAGGAACCTTTAGAGAGCAGCGTAAAGAAAATGATAACATCAAAAAGGTAGGATGCTTCTGAACACAGTGTTCTAATGTAAGTGCATTAGAATGACTGCAAATAATTTTTGATTCAGTTTTTGGTGTTTCATGGTAATGGCTACATGGTCAGTATTTATTTGCTTCATATATTTGTTTCACAGCATTGAGGAGCTTTGCAGTGTTGAGCTATATAATTCGGAAGTTCAACTGGATCATGTTAGACTTGGTTCCATTCTGTCCGCATGCAAGCAGCTTCACAAGGCTGGTTTGCTTCACTGTATCTTACAATCTCAGGTAAAAATAAAACTTCACATATATTGGTTTTGGTATTTCCACAGAGGAAGATGGTGTAAAATGTGGTATTACTAATGACTAAAATACTGACATTGTATCAATTTGACAAAGATCCAGAAGGAGGGGCTATACATTATGTATCAGCTTTTAATGCTTTTAATGAATAGACAGGAATTTTCTCTGCAGCAAAAAAATGAAACAATCATTTGCCCTCATCTTCCCATTTGCCTTGCATTTGAACCTGTGCACTTTTGGGTTACATCTAATCCCAACGTTGTTTATATTTAAGTATTTTTAGTGACAAGCTATCATGAAAGCATTTAAACACTGGAGTTTAGGCTTTTAGTTATGTTGGGTGAGGGGTGAATGTGGGGTAGGCACATCCTTTCTTTTGTATTCTTGACAATTCAAAAAGAATATGTAAGGGGAAAGAAAAAGAAAAATGAAAAGGGCCCCTTGTAGTTACAACTTGAACCTTTACTCCCCAAATATATCTTTTCTCATTTTTCTCTCCCTTAAGGGTACAGATCTATATTGTGAGACTGGCTGTAAGCTCATGTTGGTTGTATACAAAGGTATTGCACCAGGAAATGAAAGGAAGTCCCTTCCCTTGTTGGACTTCAACAGTAAGCAGTTAGCTGAACAACTGTTGCACCTGGCTTTTGCTTTTGGTGTGCAGGTAGGGGGTTGACCTTATTGATGGCATGTGTACATTTTCTGATATTTTATTTGTCTAGTATATTGGAGAAAATTAAATAATTTCCTCTGTCAGGAATAACTGTGGAAGTTTAATAATATCCTTGAATATGTATTTCTGCACAAGAGCCATTCTTTCTCGATGAAGACATTCTTTGATGGGTATCCTCACTTGCGCACATTAAGGCAGGAATTCTAATCATATGAGCCCCACACTCTTACCATTCTGGACAACTCTTATTTGACTGCTCTGTATCTGAATTGCAGTGCTAAGAAACTGTTCTTTTTTCCCTTTTGTAGTTGCATCTTTGTTCAGTGACAAGTCTCACTTAGGAGAAGAGAAGGAAGGAACAGCATTACTTTTAGGTCTAAAAAATGAGCTGCGTACCTTTGAGCCCATCTGACCCATGCATTTGAAATTCACACTCATTTCTGTAGGGAGCTTATTACTTGGGAAAAATACTCTGTATTTTTCATCAAGATAGAATCACCCCATACATACAGTAGACACTACATATTGTGCCTGTAGTCAATTTTCTCTTCTGTTTGGTGCAAGAACTCTGGATAACTTTCCTTACCCCATATTCTAAATTCCAAAGAGACAAAGCCTAGAGAGGATGTTGGCATCTCTGCCATTGTAGGTATCTGATCTAGAGGTAGGGACAATGGATGTGCATATGCCAAAGTAGCTTTTTGCAGGTGGGTACTATACTAGAACACAGACTGGGTACTTTTTTCACATTTCATCTAATGAAGCATCCCCTTTTGAGAGAGGAAGAAATACTAGTGCTCATTATTAATATTTATTTTCCTTACTTGATGGAAGACATCTTTATCAAGGAGTTGTTATAGTTAATTCCTGTCTGTAACTACTTCAGGACTGGAGAGCAGCATATCGTGACATTCATTTGGTTGGTGATGGTTTTTTGTGTGTGTCTCCTGCCCCACTTTTCTTTGATCTCCAAAACTCATGATAACAAGTTTTTTTGCTTTAATGATTGAGTTTTTTAAATAAATGTCTCTTGCAGCTTGATGGTACCCCTCAATTAGGTGTTATTTTGCACAGCTTTCCTTCTGTTTGTGTGAAAGGGAGGAATTTACCCATTCATTGAGCAGAATGAATATTGTTCCTAGTGAGTACTTTGGTTTTTGAATGCTTGTACAGTCATGTTAATTTATTTAGTATTTTAATGATCAGAAAAGCTGTACCTGACCATTATGTTTTTATTTGAAAAGCATCTTTGTAATATTGAAAAACATATTTTAACTCATTTGTATTTATTTCTTATAGTGCAAAGAGCTGGTGAATCTTTTATTGAACACACACATGTTATCTGTGCCAGTATCAGAAGAGTCCCAAAGAAATCTAGTCAGCTTTTCTCATGGAGAGTATTTCTACAGCTTATTCTGCGAAACCATTAACAGGCAGCTCTTGAAAAACCTGGATATAGCAGTACTTCAGCTTATGAAATCAGCTGTAGACAGCCCCAAAATGGTACTACACTCTGCCTTAAAATACCGAGTTGGCAGATTTATTGTCTTTCAAATTCTGTTCCCCAAATAAGTGTAATTTAAAAAATAGAACTAAAGCTGTTCAGTATGTTTGTACATTCATCATTCTTTCTGTTTTCATTAGAATTTTGCTTCTGGTCCATGCAGATATTTGTACACTACTACCCAAGAACTACCAGAGAATAATCCTAGTAATACATTAGAGATGATCTGCTATTAGATGTTTGCTAATACTGTACAGAAAATGGTGGTGCCCTATAATGATTTTCTTCCTACCACTGACCTATCAGTGGACCATTTTATTTAAACAGAATTGTAGAATAGTAGAGTTGGAAAGGGCCATGAAGGACCTCAGGTCCAAGCCCCTGCTGTTGCAGGACATCAGTTTACACCATCCCACCCACAAGAGTTTACATGTTCTTACTTTTGGAATGTTGGGGAACCCTAAATGATGGGAATCTAAGTACATCCGAGGCACTGTGTCTTTGATAGACACAGCTATAGAGAATGTACATACTACTCTAGTAATTAATTTGCTAATCTTGCAGGCATTCTGTTTTAATTCCACAGTGTTAAAGTTGAATTGCATAAAATGCTGTCATTATTTCATGGTAGCAATAATCTGCATTTCAGGTTGGTACTGTTTTGAATGGCATGCTGGATCAAAGCTTTAGAGATCGTACTGTTCGCAAGCAACAAGGTGTGGAATTAGTGTCTGCTATATTAAAAAACTGGGGAGAGCTTAACCACTGGTGGACCATAGATTCTTCTCCTGAGAGCAAAATGGCTGTCCTGACCTTATTGGCTAAAGTTCTGCAGGTAAACTTACCACTAAATAAGTTATTTTAGTGCTTGTGAGGGAATATGGCATTTCCTATAAATAATTTTCTAGAACCAGTGTCCAAAGTGGCCACTGGATGAAATGTATAAGAAAAATGTAAATGATTTTCTGAACAATTAAATATTTGAAACATTTGAAATGTTTTAGCTTTGCTTTTTCCTGAGATTTGAATTGTTTATTGATTGTATCTACATTCTTATTTGTCCCTTCGGCATCCCCTAGCAAAGGACCCAACCATTTGGAAGTGAGCAATCTGAGTTAGGGGCATTTGAAAAATGTAGTTCACTCATGCATGTAGTGCATTAAGGGGGTCAAAATGATCCTTAACTGATACTCACAGTACAGTGAGGGAATGCTGAAGGAATTCAGCTCCAGTGAAGAAATTCTGGTTCATGCAGTGTCCTTTCCCTCTTCCTCAAAGTCTTTGGAATATGGCCTGGTAATTAATACACCATGGTAACTATTGCAGCATCTCTTCCTCATATTCACCTGTATTTCTCTGGTGGATATTTCTCAGCTAATAACTAATTTGGAAAATATAGCTGGTAATCTGTATAGTATAGCTAGTCTTCTTCATCGTGGCTTCTGTGCATCACACATATGGGTGCTGCGCCTGCGCAGTGCCTAGGCCAGAAGATCAGAAATCTAACGGTTTTTGGTGGGAAAACTCCGCTCCCCTCCCCCTCCATAGTAAAATTAGAGTGGAGTGTCCGCCATTTTACTCAGTCTCTGCGACTGCTGTTCACTGTGCCTTGTGCCTGTTCGTCTCTCGCTTAGATTCTGCCTCATGTTCGTTCTATGGTTCTTATACCTACCTTGTTACATTCCAAGTTTTTTCTCTTACCCGTATTACAATCTTTCTTTCTTTCTTTCTTTCTTTCTTTCTTTCTCTATTAAAAAAAAAACAAACCAAAAATATTATAACTTTACCCTCTGCACTATCTTCTTCTTTCCTTTTCGTGATGGCGCAGTGAGCGACATTTCGCAAATGTATCAAGTGCAGCTCCAAGATGTCCCCAGCGGACCCACACGATCTATGCCTCCTCTGCCTCGGTGAGGGTCATAGAACCGATAAGTGCGGCCATTGCTTGGCCTTCACCAAGCAGGCCAGAAAAAATAGGGAGAATCGTCTCCGCAAGCTCCTCTGGGACCAGGCCCTGATGCAACCAGACCAGTTGGTCTTGAGGCCTGGCTCCTCTTCGACCGCGCCTCCTCAATGCCCTGCCTCTGCTGAGCCCTCGAAGCACCCTATCTCGGCCTCAGCCTCACCTCCACAGCGTCCTTCAGACGAAGGCACTACTCCAGTGGAGGCCCAGCGGCTACCTTCTCCCTCAGCTAAACAACGGGAGAAGCATAAGCACACTGGGTTGATAAGTCCTCCAGGCACAAAAATACTGAGGAAAGATAAGGCAGGCAAGCCAGCTCGTAAGGGCAAAAAACCTGATCACCCCAAACACCGGGGTTCGAATTTGTCAGGGTTCCTGGTACCGACCGCCGCTATGGTACCAACTCCCTCGGGACCGGCGCTTCAATCAGCAATGCAGGTGACTCCGCCAGGATCCCCCAGGCAAATTGTTCGGCCTGAGAGCATGTCTCCTCCACAACTGGAGGCGCTGCTTAGGGAGTCGATCTTAGATGGAGAGATCAGAGACTCCCCACTGAGGGAGCACTCTCCAATCCCGATGCCAGGGCCACCTGCAGAATCTCCATCACCACCTGGACGTCGAAGCCGTTCCACTGACCGTCAAGCCGAGGACTGGCCAATGCCTGGCTATGGTGGTTTCTCAGGTTGAGAATACCACCCGTTTGCCTACTACCCACAGGACCATCAGTCACCACCGGTCCCGAGGGAGGCACCGTCCACTTCGGGGCGTGCAGAGAGGAAGTGCCCAACGTCCCCGGAGACCTCCTCTTCCAGCGAGCTCTACTGCTATCAGGAAGACTCAGACAAGTCGGAAGTGGACTCCACGTCTCCCGATGTGGCCATTACCTCCCAGGGCCCTGGGTCTCTGGATGAGCCCCATGTTACCTTCGCGGAGCTCATCTCTCTCCTGGTTCGGTCACTGGAGATCGAGGCCCACCATCACCCCAGTCCCAGCACCGATAGATTTTACGACATCGTCCAGGGCAAGCAGTCTGCAGCCATAGCCTTGCCACTCATTACTACCCTCCATCAAGCGATGGTCCAGCCCTGGGACCAACCGGCTCAACCACTGGCTACGTCTCGTCGACACGAGGCCATGTACCGAGTTCGGGAGGAAGATATACCATTCCTGCTACGTCACCCAAAGCCAAACTCGGTGGTGGTTGAGTCCTCCCAGGGCAGGGAGTCGAGGGGTCACACCACCCCTTGTGATAAGGAAGGGAGGAAGATCGATATGCTTGCGTGCCGAGTCTATGTGGCCTCTGGACTCGGCCTACACATATCAAATTATGAAGCAATGCTGGTGCGTTACCAGTACTTCATAATGCAAAAGATGGAAAACGTCGCCTCCTCCCTTCCAGACCATCAAGCAGACCTGGCCAGAGTGTTCATAAAGGAGGCAATGCAAGTGGCAATACAACAACTTTCCACTGCAAGACATCACGTGGACACTGACTCTAGGGCCCTGGTCAGTGCCATTTCTCTTCAACGGCACGTGTGGCTAAGGAATTGTAATTTCCCTGAGGAAATGAAGAGGAGAATAGAAGAAATGCCGTTTGATGATATCGGTCTGTTTCATGCAAAGACCGACCATAAGCTCAAGTCGATCCACAAATCACGCATGACAGTGCGTCGCATGGAGCTTCCACAGCAGAAACGTAAATAGTCATGGTCCCGACCTTCCAGACGTCAACAGTACCACCCCTGCCAACAATATCAGCAAAGGCAGCAATGTAGAAGGCAGCAGCCGCAACAATGCTTCTCTCAGGGCCATCAGTGTTTCGATACTGAGAAGCATCCTCGTTGACAGTCCTGGCGGACCATTCCATCTCTCCAGTCCCCACCTTCCCCTCTCCCTTTGGAGGCCGGCTGCAAAGCCGACTCCCCATTTGGGAATCCATTACATCTGATAGGTGGGTGTTGTCCACCATTCAGCTTGGATATAGAATAGAATTCGACATCGTTCCTCCATTGAGCCTGATCCAATTTACACCTCGCTCTTCAGTACTATGCGATGAGGTCTATCAGCTACTTTGTAAAGGAGCGATTCGACAACTCTCTCGCTCTGAAGGACTGCACGGATTCTATTCCAGATATTTTACAGTCCTGAAATGGGACGGTGGTCTTCGTCCTATCCTGGACTTGCGAGATGTTAACAGGTACATCTAACCTAGAAAGTTTCAGATGACCACCTTACAAAATATCCTTCCGTTGCTGAGGAGAGAGGACTGGTTCGCCTCACTGGACTTGAAGGATGCATATTTCCATATCTCAATTCATCCTTCTCATAGACACTTTCTACGTTTCACTGTCGAATCTGATATATTCGAATTCAGTGTCCTGCCATTCGGTCTCGCCACGGCTCCGAGAGTCTGCACAAAGTGTATGGCTCCGGTGTGTGCATACCTGCGCCTTCAGGGTATACAAATATACCCATACTTGGATGATTGGTTGATTGTGTCCCAGACTAGAGACAGTCTCCTGTCAGCTGTACACGAAACTTGTGCTTTGCTTGACGATCTTGGACTTTGCATTAACCATGAGAAATTGTCCCTTATTCCTACGCAGGTCATCGATTTCATCAACTCTACTCTAGAGAGGGCATTTCTTCCTCCGAACCGTCGAGACACTCTTTGTGTGCATATCCTTCGGATTCGACAGGACAGGACTGTACAGGCCGTCACTATACAGAGACTTTTGGGGCACATCGCTGCTGCAGTTGCCATTGTACCGTATGCCAGACTCCAGCTTCGGCCTCTACAGTTGTTTTTCAACAAGTCGTTGCATCCGCAGCGGGACCCACCAAGCAAGTTAATTCGGAATCCGTTGTTGATCCTCCATACCATGGCATGGTGGACTGCTCTAGACAATCTGTCTATCGGCGTACCGTTCCAACCCCCCCAACCGACAGTGACATTGTACACCGATGCATCCCTCATCGGGTGGGGTGCGGCATGTGCAGGACTTCGGGTCCAATGGACTTGGAACCGACGGGAAGCGAAGAAGCATATCAACGTCGTCAAACTCTAGGCGATTTTCAATGCTCTCAAATCTTTTGAAACTGTGCTACAGCATCAAGTTGTCCAAATTGCTTCCGGCAACATCGCTGCTGTTTTTTACATCAACAAGCAGGGCGGGACAAGGTCACCTGTGCTGGCTCGACTATAGATGGAAATTTGGGATTGGTGTATCCCAAGGGACATACTGCTACTGGCGGTTCACCTTGCAGGGACTGACAACATAGAAGCAGATACTCTGAGCAGACCAATGTCTACGACCCACGAGTGGGAGTTAGACCGACAACTTTGCGAGCAACTCTTCCATCTATGGGGATGGAATAGACTTGTTCGCTACCCGAGAGAACAGGGTATGCAAACTGTTTTGTTCAAGACCGGATATCGGACCGGGATCAACAGGAGATGCCCTTATGATCCCTTAGAACATCATGACTTTCTACGCTTTTCCCCCAATTCCACTCTTGGTGAGGGTTGTACTGAAGATAGTTCAAGACAATGCTACGGGGATATTAATAACTCTGTGGTGGCCGAGGCAACCTTGGTTCACCAATCTCCTCGGTCTATCCAAAGGGGTATTTCTTCAGCTGCCAGTGATTCCTCATCTATTAACACAGCACAATGGAGCGATCCGACACCCGGACTTGACTTCTTTGAAGCTGACGGCTTGGCACATTCTTTAAGTCTAACTGCTGAATCGGTTCCGACTACATCTCGAACACTGGAAGATGCAGCTCAACAGACTGTACAACCGAACCCTTCCTTGGACCCGGTAGGAATCGCTCCGGGACCGACAGCCTTGCATCCGGATATCCAAGCGATTCTCAAATCTGCTCTAAGGCTGTCAACGCATTGATCTTATGCAGCAGAATAGAGAAGATTCTCATCTTTTGCTGAGTGCCATTGTTTTTCTCCGGGATTGGCCTCTATTGAGAACATTTTATCATTTCTTTTCGAATTGCACCATTTGGGACTTAAACTGTCATCTATAAAGGTTTACGCTGCTGCCATTTCACATTACCGTGGCAATGTACAGGGCTCATCTGTTTTCTCCCAACCTATGGTTCGGCGTTTTATTAAGGGACTGCAGAACCTTCACCCGTCCGTTCGTCCTGTTATGCCAACATGGAGCCTTTCCGTAGTACTCCAAGCACTTACAAGGTCCCCGTTTGAACCTTTGGCGGCTGTTGATCTACACCTAGTATCTTGGAAGACTGTTTTCCTTGAAGCTGTCACTTCAGCCCGAAGAGCTAGTGAAGTTTGTGCTCTTTGAATAGATCCACCGTATTTGAATTTTCATAAGGAAAAGGTCGTTCTTCGAATGAATTCAACGTTCCTACCTAAGGTGGCTACATTGTTTCATATAAATCAGGAGATTGTCTTACTTGCGTTCTTTCCATTGCCATCGAATCTGATTGAAAGATCTCTTCACACTCTTGATGTTCAACGCTGCTTGACCTTTTACAGATCTCACACAGAATCCTTCAGGAGTTCTAATAGACTCTTCGTTAAATATTCTGACCATGATAAGGGCTCTCCGATCACATCTCAGAGACTGTCTAAATGGATCATTCAGACTATAGTTTTAGCATATCAGTTAGCTAAGATGGACTTACCTTCGCTTCCAAGGGGTCATTCTACGCGAGCAGTAGCAACTTCATCGACCTTTGCAGCAGGAGTTTCAATCCAGGATATCTGCAGAGCTGTAGCCTGGGCTGCTCCATGCACTTTTGCCAAGCATTATTGGCTGGATGTGTGTGCCAGACAAGATTGTCCCTTTGGTAGAGCAGTTCTCTCCACTATTCTTCGTTGATGACACCTCCTTCCTCCGAGTCTGGTAAGCTTGCGAATCACCCATATGTGTGATGCACAGAGGCCATGACGAAGAAAAGCAGGTTGCTTACCTGTAACTGATGTTCTTTGAGTGGCCATCTGTGCATTCACACAACCCACCCGCCAACCCCGCTCGGTGTCCGTAGTGGAAATGTTCTTCATCTGTACCATACTTAAATATTTAGCATACCAATGATATTACTGTGATATCATCTTCAACCTCAAGGGGGCGAACGTTCGGTCTTCGAGACTGAGTAAAATGGTGAACACTCCGCTTTATTTATACTATGGAGGGGGAGGAGAGGGGAGTATTCCCGCCAAAAACCGTTAGCTTTCTAATCTTCCGGCCTAGGCACTGTGCAGGCGCAGCACCCATATGTTTGAATGCACAGAAGGCCACTCAAAGAACATCAGTTAAGCAACCTGCTTTTCCTGAATGGTTGGATCTCATTATTTTTTAATTTAACTTCACAGTTTTTATTTGGTCTTAGTAGAATATTAAATATATTATTTCAATGAAAATGCCTTCTAGTTTGAGGAGTTGTGCTGGAGTTTATTGCTGTTGCTTTTTTAATTTCCATTATCGAATGTGAACCACCATAAAAATAAGATTTTTTTCTGCAGCATTTTTAGCTTAAGATAAAGCTTCTAGAGTGCCTTACAAATATTACTAATGAGATATCCCTTGCCCTTGGGTTTGCAACCTGAAAGATACAAGCACTTGTTCTTAGTTTCTAGTTAGTGCATGTTCTGGCAGGGAAGATGAAACCAGTCTTCTGAAGCTGTTACCTCTGTGGCTGTTGTATGAGACCAGGTTGGTCTGCCCATCTGCTCTGCTGGACTATTTTAATATATTTGAATTAACAAACCAATACTGTGTGAAAGTTAAACATTAATTTATTTACTTTCTCCAGATTGATTCTTCGGTGTCATTTAATATAGATCATGAGGCATTTTCTGTTGTTTTTAATACCTACAAAAGTCTGCTGACTGACCAGAAGCTGGGTCTAAACCTCAAGGTAACTGAATTGTATATGAGCTTGTATTTTACTTTTTGAATTGTCAGCAAAGACCTTGTTGCACCCAGTAGCTAAGTTCTGATGTAAATCAAACTATGGTTTAGCCAGACATAAATACAGCTAGCCTCCTTACAGGTACGTGTGTTCCTCCTGCGTTACAGAGAGAGGTTCATTTTTATTTTTTGTTTGTTTGTTTTTGTTCTTAGTTAAACTGAGACTCCTGAAGTGGCTTGTTTAACCTGATGCCAGAATATGGTCATTATTTTCACAGTGACATTTCAAGCTCCTTTTTATTGACTTCCACAAGCACCAATTGTAATTAAGAGTCAGAAACTGTTTTCAAATTCCATGTTAATTCTAAAATATGCTTAGTGTTATCTTTGATATAGTCACCATGCCTAATTTGTCCTCATCAGGTTAATTTTTTCCATCAAAATACTTATGAAATAGTGACGATTTAAAATGTATGTGAGCATATAACAAAATGTTCTAAATTGCATGTGTATTTCAGAGTCAAGCAGTTATCATTCTTCCATTCTTCACTAACCTTGTTGGAGAAAGACTTGGCGACCTTAAAAATGCACTTGACCAACTTGTAGCATTCAATTTGCCTTTGAGATCAAATGAGTTTCCCAAAGGAACATTAAGATACAATAACTATGTGGACTGTATCAAAAGAGTAAGTGAAAAGATGATGGTATTTTAAACCATGTTGTCTGCTCTAAGCCCAAAGTCATGTTCTTGTGTGTTCTCCTCCCTCCCTCCCCCCGCGCTCACTCACTCACTCTCGCGCTCGCGCGCGCGCTCTCTCTCTCTCTCTCTCTCTCTCTCTCACACACACACACACAGAGCGAGCAAGCGAGAGCACATGGAAGTAAGGGTGGGGAACCATGCTATTTGAAGCCTGGCATGATAATCTGAATTGGGTCATTGTCTAACTTAAGAGGTAATGAGTTTGTTTGTAATAATAAATAATAAATAAGGAGGAAGGAGATCCAGTGACTGATATGAGGGAACAGGCACAGATGCTAAATGACTATTTTGCCTCTGTGTTCTCCCCAAAGCAGGACGGGGGATATCGGCATAGGAGATTAGATGAGGCCGGGGACTTAGGGGCACAGATTAGAGTCACCCCCCTTGAAGTCGAGGGGCTCCTCAGGGCACTGGACATTACAAAGGCACCAGGCCCTGACAGGTTACACCCGAGAGTACTTAGAGAGTTGGCAGGGGTTCTCTCACACCCGCTGGCCTCCATTTTTGAGGCCTCGTGGAGAACGGGTGAAGTTCCAGAGGACTGGAGGGTGGCATCAGTGGTCCCAATTTTCAAAAAGGTTAGTAGAAAGGACATGGGGAATTATAGACTGGTTATCCTTACGTCCATTGCAGGAAAAAAAATGGAAAGGCTCATAATAGAGATCTAGTGATGCTAGATCTCTCTCTGTTATGCTAGATGTCAGCAGTGTGATGCGGTGGTCAAGAGGGCGAACGCCACCCTTGGTTGCATAGCCAGAAGTGTGGCTTCTAGATCAAGAGAGGTATTACTACCACTCTACACAACTCTGGTGCGCCCGCAATTGGAGTATTGTGTTCAGGTTTGGGCCCCTCATTACAGAAAGGATATAGCCAGGTTGGAGTCAGTGCAGCGTAGGGCCACAAGGTTGGTGGCCGGTTTGCAGGGAATGCCGTATGAGGCGAGACTGAGGGAACTGGTTCTCTTCAGCCTGGAGAAGAGGAGACTCAGAGGGGATATGTTGGCAACATACAGGTATGTGAGGGGATGTCACATGGAGATTGGTAGAGACCTGTTCTCCCCTGCAGAGGAAGGCAGGACACGCTCCAAGGGAGCAAAGCTCAGGGAGCCATTTGGATGCCAGGAAGCACTTCCTGACAGTCAGGACTCTGAGGGTGTGGAATGGGCTTCCACGAGAGGTCGTTGAGGCCCCATCGGTGCGGGTGTTCAAGGATAGGCTGGACATGCACATGGTGGGCATGTCGTGAGCGGAGCCGGCTGGTGCCAGAGGTCAGACTAGATGGCCCGGGAGGCTCCTTCTGACTCACTCTGTTTCTATGTAATGCTTTACCTTTTATATTTGTGTGGGTTAATTGTTATATTTAATAGAACAAGGAATAACTATGAGCTGTGAACAATGAACAACCAATCAAGAGAACTCATAGTTAGATTGCAAACTGTGATTTGTTGAACCCATGGATTTTCATTTCAAGTGTCGCCAGAATTGTGAGTGGGTCATGGATTATTTTGCTGACTACAGAGATAGCAGACAAGAGGCAGCCACTCTGCGTATCAGTATTACAGTGCTGCAAATGCTAGGCAAGAAAGGAGTGAGTGAAAGGTGTGTGAACCAGAAAAAAACAGCCCATGGTTTGCTCAGTTGTTTTTCAGCCAAATTGGGGATTTACTTGGGATAAATTGACAACTTATGAGTTAACTAACCATGGGTTGTTACTTGTAAACTAGGTGATTTGGAAAACCCTGTTTTATAAAACATATCTTTCACAAAACAGAATTCTTCTACATAATTTTAAGAACACATCATATTTGGCTCATTCCCAGATAGAGTACAGTACTGAAATAATTCTCCTTTAATGCTCAATATTTTGTCTTTATGCAAATAGGCTATGGGGAAGCACTAAATGTTAACAGTTGGCCTGGGCTCATGAGGCTTCAGGATCTGCCAACTTCTTCCATTCCAGAAACACTGTTTTGGGCTAGGTTTTGGTTGCTATAAGCAAGTGCTTTCATGGTGCTAGTAGTCATTCTTCTATTGCAAAAGCATTATTGGAAACTGTCAGTGTTTCCCAAGTCAAGTAGGAAAACTGATCATCTTTATGCCTACTGGAATTAATTTATATTCACTTTCACGTTTATACATGGAAATATTCCTGTTCTGTTGTGGCTTTGGTTACTGAGAAATAACGGGTCGGTTTAAACAAACTCCTAAACTGGTAAATGTAGGAAAGTTGATAGGGAGATAGGCAGGATGGATACAGTGAGAATATTATATGAATGCTCAAATTTATATTTACTCATTCATCTTATCTCTTCGGGGAATCCAAGGCAGCATACATAATCCTTCATCACTCCCATTTTTTATCCTGCTGACAACTCCATGAGACTGAGTCAGTGACTTTTCCAAAATAATCTAGTGAGCTTCATTGTCCAAGTGGGAACCCAGAACCCTGATTGGCAAGATCTAATCCACCCTTCTTAGGCACTGCACTGACCCATGCGGAAGAAATCATAGTTTATCACCTAGGGACTCACTAAATATTCCAAAGAAGGTCTAGAATGAGTTTCAGTCTTACCATCTGTTGCATTTCTTCTAAAAATTCAACACAACCCCTTTCTCCCTCCAGTTTCTAGATGCACTGGAACTATCCCAGAGTCCTATGCTGTTACAACTGATGACTGAAGTTCTTTGCAGAGACCAGAGACACATAATGGAGGAATTATTTGAAATTAGCTTTAAAAGAATTGCCCAAAGGTAATCCTGGTCAGTTGTTCTTTAAATTAAAAATGAAGCAGATTTCCTCCAGTTTTTACTGTATAAATGGTTCTTCAATTTAAATGACAAGAGTTGGGTAGCTTTAGAGTACAGGGTACATATTAAGCTTTTTAATTATTATCTTGCATTATTATCAAAAGATACTCATATTAGAAAAGTCAGGATGAATCCTGATGCCTCTCACTACATGGTGGTGATGTGGAGTATTGTTGGGGAAACTTTTAATTCCATATTCCTCTGTACATTCCATATGTACTGAAGTCAGACCTATTCAAGCAGCCTGTGGGAGCACTGGGTTCATAAAGTTTTCTCTGTCGGTGCCTGTGTGGCTGAACTGTGTATAAATTCATTTCACTGTGTATAAATTCATTTCCCATATGTCATTACAGGACATATGGGGTCAAAAGTTCTTTTGAGTTTTCCTTAAATATATCCTGCCAGGCACCGATTCTGCCTATTTCAGAATAGTGTCATAAATAAATCCTAATTAAGAAAGTTTTGTTGAAAGAGAATTAGGGTTGACTTTAAAGTGAAATTTGGTTGAAAGTTTTGATCTTTAAATTTCTCACTGTGTCTAGGGGTGGCTGCGACAAACAAGTAGTGTTGCTGGGCACTGTGTATAAAATGTTCCAGTGTGAAACCCTTCTCTCAAATGCAGCCTGCCAAGCCTATGTGGATCGCTCTCTTCTTGTACTCTTGCTTCACTGCAGCTTGGATGCACTGAAAGAATTTTTAAGTAACATTATTGTGGAGGCTATGGATATGTTAAAATCCAGGTTTATAAAGGTAAAGGCTGAGCTATATCTTGTGAAATGTATTTATTTTAAATAACTGAACTATTATATGTGTTTCTGTTAAAGAAACGGTTTGTTTGAGGTTTTTTGCTAATCCATCACCTAGAGACTATGTCTATATATTTTTTCAGTCAAATGAAACCACTTTTGAAATGCAACTCACCAGGAAAATGTGTTACTACAAGGTTTTGAAAGTTACATATTCACGTCTTTCCAAACAAGATGTATACTCCAAGGACTCTAGAATTAACCAAGCTTTTCAGGGCTCTACTTGTGTAGAAGGAAATGAACTTACTAAGATTCTAATAAAGTAAGTATTTATTTTTCCTTCTTTTAAACTAATAATGACATTGTTTAACTTTATTTTTGTAGCCAATAAAATTATAATTGAAGACCAGATTCAGAATGCAAGTTTTTCAGTCAACACAGATTTTTTTCAGGCTTGGCTGTTCAAGATAATTTTTTAATGGGTAGTAGATGTTTGAGAGCATGACATTAAGATCTTGTGTGAAGATTGTTTCAATGCCCAATCCTATACATATTTACTTAGAAATAAGGTGCACTGTGTTTAATGGTGCTTGCTCCCTAGTTAGAGTTTAGGATTGAAGTAATAATCTCAGGATCTTATGGAATGACGTAAAAATCTCTGGGGTTTATACTCCTGTCTTTAAGAAGAGTGGCATTGTTTGCTTTCGCCCTTAATTTTTCCTGAATGTTCAGCTTGAGCTAGAATGTTTTCTTACTACTTGTTCTGACCTACCAAATATCCTGTAGGAATCTGACAGAGAAATATTTCCACTAAAGTTGAGTATTTTGTGTCTTGATTTTTGAGCTATTAAAGCTACTTTGAAAATACTAGCCAAATAATTAAGGTTTACTGCTATTGCTGCAACTCGTCATAATAAGATTCCAGTTAATCTTTAAATAGCAAGTTCTAAATGTCAACTAAAGACTATGTCACAACTTTAGCTCTGTATTTACTAGCGTATATTATGACATCTTTTGACTTCCTTTAAAATTGCTTTTGGCTTTTTAACTATTCTGTTTCAAGGTCCTGCTATGATGCCTTTTCAGAAAACATGTCAGGTGAAACTCAGCTATTGGAAAAGAGGAGACAGTATCATTGTGCTGCATATAATTGTGCCATTGCTGTTGTTAGCTGTGTGTTCAATGAAAGTAAATTCTACCAAGGCTTTCTTTTCACAGAAAAACCAGAAAAGGTATGTATTTAATGAAAATATCATCTGTGAGATGAGTTAACAATTACCCTGAAACCATTTTTTTAAAGAAAGGGTCTTGGCTGGTCTATCCACCAAATAAGAATCTCAGGTTCCTTGAAATTTTTAGGTGCCTCTGTGCTTAACTAGGTCACTTAATTCAGAACAGTATCTGTTCTAGGGAATTTGGACAAATTAAGAGTTTCTAGTGATTTCAATTTAGATTGGAAGCGGATTGGTTCGTGGGGTTCCCGAGAAGTCTTCCATCCAGGCACTAACCGGACCAAAATCTGTATTATATACCCTCAGACCATGTCCTGGGATGGGTCACACTGATCCCCTTATTCTTTCTGGAAGAAATGCCATTTAGAATAGCAAACATGTGAGTCTTAAGCGTATTATGTAACCATTCAAAATAGTCAGCATAAATGGATAGCAAACTGAAGTATGAAATTGCGTACTGGTGCTCGGTACCTATTCAAATGCATATTATTGGATTTGTCTGTATGTTAACTGGCATGTGTCTGTGGGCTGCATGTGGTCTTCGGAGGCCTGTATGGCATGTTGTAGATGCTCACGTTCCCACCATCTTCTTGAATTGTGGACCCCCCACACTGCTATGATTGTGCAAGGAAAGAGGATAACTGGGAATGACTCCTCACCTGTACTTTTCTCTACCACAATTGAGTTCCTGAAAACCTGGCAAACAGCAGCTTTCTGGGATGTTGGCAACACAATTATGCTGGGAAAGAGGGAGGATGAGAAGAGTCATCCCTGTGTGCTCTTTTGTCCATTACCATCTTCATTAGGATCACTGAGAAGGGTGTATGCCACACAAGATTAGAACCTTTTTCCTAGTCCCCCAGTGATTTTTAGCAAGTTTCTTTGCTGCTGATAACCTCTTTCCAACACACACCAATTGGTAATACTTTGTGTATTAGTGAGTGGGTGTCTGTGGTTTGTCTATATGTTATATTTCCACCTCCCATCCTTGCCCATTTGTGATTGCTCAGGCTGTTACATGAGGGTGAAGGCCTTCCGTGTGGTAGGTGGAGGAGTTTCTTCTGACCAAATTACATTGTTTCCAGCATTATGCTGAGTGGAAGATTAACATATTCCACTTCTAGGACTTAAGGGTATCACCTGTGAGCATATGTCACTGAGGGATATTTGATTCCCATGTTTGTTTATTTTTCTGTTTATATCCTGCCTTTTTCCTACAAAGGGCTCAAGGCAGCTTACATCATTCTCCTCCATCTTATCCCCACAACAACAACCTTGTGAGGTAGGTTGGGCTGATAGACTGTGACTGGCCCAAAGTCACCCAGTTGGCTCCATGGCTGAGCGGGGACTAGAACCCAGATCGTCTGAGTCCCAGTCCCATGCTCTTAACCACTACACCACACTGGCTGTCTATAGAGCTATGTTGAGAGCTATAGAATTTAGAGTTCAGTAACATCCACTAGTTATAGTTATAAGATTTATATTGACTTTTTTCATGAGGGCAGCTCCTCGAAAATTATTCTTGTAACTGATCGTTAACCAAAACTGTATGTGATAACTTTTAGTAAAAATGTGTAACACAGTGAACCAATTCAGACTTACATGTCTTCTTTCATTCCACAGAATTTACTTATTTTTGAAAACTTGTTGGACTTGAAACACTGTTACTCATTTCCCATTGAGATTGAGGTAGGGGGACATTATTTTTTACTAAAAATGCCAATCATTTTTATCCTACATAATTATAACCTGAGCTTAATGAAAGCAACACAAATACTACAGTGTAACAAATAAGCTTAACTGCTCTTTAATCAGAAAATATTTTTATGCCATAAACATTCTAGACCAAGCTAAGATGGGTGGCCAGGTCACAGAAAAGAGATACAAGATATTCTAGATTTTAATCCAAATCCCTGCAGTGGGTCCAATTTGGCTAATCAAGCCTTAGGGATGGTGGTGAACCCCAAGATTGTTTGACTCAGTCATTACGCCTATGTACTTTGCTGCTGTAGTCATGGAGAAAGGCTCAAAAGGTAACACCACACATTTTGGGAAATACTTTTCACTGATAGTGATGAACAAATGGTTTTGATTTATGATAGCTGATATACACACATTTCCAGACAGCGTTTATGAACAAACTGAGACCTGCCAGTATTTTCATAGTGTGTCCAATAGCTAACCTGTTGAAATGGTTCTTTCTGTGAGATGTATTGAGAATGCAACAAACAAAATAGGTCACTGGATGATCAGAGAAGACAAGGTTTGGAAGATCGATCGTATTCAGCACCTCCAGGGCAGGAGGTTCAGAATTATTCTCTTTAGCAATCAGAATGACCAGTGTAACTTTCATATTAATCACCTCGTATTGGCTGTAGAGGACATGTGTGTCTAGGCTCATGAACATTCGAACAAATTCCTGCAGAAAAATAACAGCTTAGCTAGTTTAAATTAATATGTGAAATTCTATACTACCAGTTCCCTCTGCATTTTGATCCATGTTATCCCCTAGGGTTATCAGGTCTGAATGTAGAAAGTACATATTATAATCCTTCAAATAAAAAAAAGTCCAAGAAATAACAGTGGTGGACAATAGAAGAGCAATTTTACAGAGAAGGGACAGGAAGGAAGGATTGCTTAAATAAAAAATAACCAAAATATGGGATGGTGGTATTTGTGTTACATACAGAAAGGAAAGTAATAACACGATTTTTATAATAACTGAAAGAAATGAGTTGCTCAAGGCAGTTCCGATGTTTCCATCTGACTGACCGGGAAGAACAGAATGGCCATGCTTTGGGGAGTTCCTCTGGATAGTCAAAGGTTGTGAATTGCCAGTGGGCTCTGCTTTTCCTTTGCAGCCAAGTTACCCATGTCTGTTCTGTATTTTATGTGTTTTAATTCCAGATTTAAAATTCTGGATTTGGAAAAGTTATATGTATTTTTATAAGATGCTATATTAAACTGCAAACAGATTGTGTTTCCTTTGAAAATATTTTGTATATTCTAGGTTCCTCTAGAAAGAAAGAAGCAGTATATTGCTATCAGGAAAGAAGCCAAAGAAGCAACAAATGGGGATTCAGGTATAGTTATTTCTCATTAGGAAAGAGATTATCATCTGTATGTTTAAATTAAGAAAAGGGAGTAAAGGGTCAAATGACTTAATACAATACAGTTTTAGACAGGATTTAATGCTATTCAATTATGGTCAAAGTAGAATTTGAAGCAGAACTTATTGGAAGCAAGAGGACTGGCATTGTGTAGGTGTTCTAGATGGGAGTTCCAGGCATATGGAATGGATAAATTCATTTATAATTGAACAAAAACATTAAATACAAATGTAGCTAGGGTGGAAAATGTACATTGCAAAACAAATGTTTTGACTGTAAACACTTTCTTTAATTATTAAAATACAATTCTACATTTTAGATACTCTAAGGCATCCCTTAAGCACATTTGTTGTGTTTAATTTCCATTAAAAATCAAAGAGGCAGGAATTGATAGCTAATTTATTTTGTTTTAAGCAGGTCATATGTGTGACTAAATGTAGTTGGATCAGGGGCTTAATTTTTGGCATTTCTAAATATAGATAGTCTCAGAAATACACATTTGAAAATATGAATGTATATATTTTCAGACTTAGATTTTAAAGAGCTCTGTATTGTCCTTAATGTAAAATATTTCTTTGCTGCTTTTCATGTCAGAAGCTCTTCGTTCCATACATGAATGGAACTTTCTTAAGTGAGGGATCGTCCTCCATTTATGCAAACAAATATGCATGTGTGCTAAATGGCAAAAATCCTGTTCATGAAACTGATTATAGTTAATGCTGCTGAATGGACACACATCTGAATAGTGATTCTAACATTTTATTACATAACCAGCTTTTCAGTTCTCAATTTTCTCTTAGTATAACCAGACTATGTATTTTTGTTTTAGCTGAACCACACTATTTAGCCTCAGCATCATACATGGCAGATAGCAGTTTGAGTGAAGAAATGAGTCAGTTTGATTTCTCAACTGGAATACAGAATTTTTCATATAACTCACAGGTTGCTGCTGCCTCTGGTTCTCATCTCAAGGGAAAGGTAACTTGAGCTGTATATTAGGTGTGGAAACTAAGTGTGTGTGTCTACTCAAAATATTTCCTTGTTTGTATAAGCTTCAGATTTGGAGGAAAAAACTGTACTCATGTAGCAAGTTTCAGAGAGCAAGAGACTGGAGCAGTCCATTCCTTTCTACACCCTGTCACCTCTTACTGAGGTGTAAATCAGAAGAAATGTGATTCTTACAGTATTTGCATTCTATTTGTGCACAGAAGAAAAAATTGTTCTGCAAAGTGGGGCAGAGTCACAATGAGGGCTGTCAGTTAAGGATAAGTTAAGTGTGGAGCCCTTGGAAACAATTGTTGTTTTTGTTGAAAAAGGAGCCCTCTGAGTCTACAGTTCCAGATGCTATTATGGAATTGGAAATGGATGAACTCAACCAGCATGAATGTATGGCCTCTATGACAACCCTGCTCAAACACATGCACAGAAATAACATCACACCCACAGTAGAAAAAGTGAGTATTGCCTTGTTGTTACTATACATAGCTTCCTAGATTTTTCAAGACAGATTATCAGCGTTTCACAAGTAAGTGCACTGAAAATTTAGTACATCTAAAGGGTGAAAAAGAATTCTGTCTTATGAAGACTTCAAGATTGTTTGTAACTTATGTATTTGCAATAGTCTGTATTCTGTAAGTTCTTAAATCTACCTGTGGCTTGAGTCAAATCATATGAATATAGCCAAGAATGTAAAAGGGTGGCTTAGTAGAAGTGTTAAATCTAAAAGATCCTGTTGGTTTTCCAACTGTTCGTTTTCATACAAGAAGGCTTGATTTTGGCTTAAGCAGCATAGTCATATTTATACATATTTATACATGTTTCTACATGTTTCTACATGTCTAGAAGTAATCTCACATTCTGAATTTTGTCAAAAGCTGCTGTCTCCCAGAATAATTACTGGGAGACTCCACTGACAATAATATAGGAAGAGTTACTGCCTCACTTCCTAAATTGCTCATTTATAAATGATACATATTTCTCCTAAATGCATGTAAATTATCATTTATGCAGTATTTTAATTGGATGATTTGCTGTTTAGAACTTTATGATCTAAATGTTTGGAAGATCTCATACAATGCTGATAAATATGTGGTCAAATTAATCTGGACTGAAACCTTATTTTTAAAATGTTAGCAAAAAATTGTTTACTTAGTCTTCTGAACTGCAACCGCAAAGTAAAATCTGTGTTGTTTAGTTATCACCAGTATTTATATATATTATTATTATTTTTTGGGTATTCAGGGAACAGATTCACCAGATCTTCCTCCATGGATGAAATTTCTGCACATCAAACTGGGGAATCCACGTGTGCCGCTAAATATTCGCCTGTTCATAGCAAAACTCATTGTGAATACAGAAGAAGTGAGTCATTCTCAATAACAGTGCAAACACACTGTCATAAATGGGTTTTGTAAATGTACAGCTTTGTTGTACAGGAGTATCAGTGCTAGCATAACTTCTTTTCTTCCTAGCTTTTGTAATAATGGCATTTATTCATAAACAATTTGATTATCAGTATATTTAAGAAAAGCATTAAAATGCTACTAAAATGAAAAGAAAGTAGTGAGATGGGAATGCCCAACCATTATCTGTGTTTGTACGTGCATGCATAATTGTGCATTCTCTCTGGATTCTTTCTCACTTTACGTCTGTCTGTCTGTCTGTCTGTCTGTCTGTCTGTCTGTCTTTCTTTCTTTCTTTCTTTCTTTCTTTCTTTCTTTCTTTCTTTCTGTGGCTTGTCTGTCTTGTCTGTCTGTCTGTCTCTGCTCACCCATTTTTTCCTTTCCCTTTTTCTGGCTTCCCTTCTTCCTTCTCTCTTTGGCTCTTTCTTTCTGTCTCTGACCCCAGTCTTCCCACTCCTAACAAGTGAGTAGAACAATTTTTCAATTCATTTGCATGGAGTGAGAAACAGCCCTCCCTTCTGAAAATCATTTGGGATGGATGAAGGTAGCCTCCCACAAAGATGTTGGTGGGCTCAAGAGGCCTTGCTTGGCAGTGGACTTTGCCTCCTCCAATCAATTTTGGTAGAGATGACTCTGCCCCCCTTCCTCTATTTAAGCTAATTTAAGCTATCGGTCCATTCACATGAATAGGGAAAAGAAAAGCTCCTCTGCTGAAAATCCGCTGGAGGAGGGGGAACAGAGCTCAACACCCACCACAAACTTTGTCCACCTACTCCTTGTCCAGCTGTTTTCCAGCAACAAGGACCCCCTATTAAAGTGAACTGTAGAATCACTCAATTTACTTGCACACAGGAAAAATAGCATAGCAGGCACCTAAGAAAAACTGTTGTGTTATATGATGACTTTTATAACGGGTGGTTTTGAAACTGGCAAGTGAATAAAATTTTATCAACACATCTTGGATACATCCATGTCTAGCTTCCTGTGTAAGGTGGCACTATTATCCATGACCTTTAATTAGGGTGTACTAGTAGAAGTATTTGAGGACAGTATCTGACTGATATATCTTACACATTCGATGTGTAAATATAGACAAGCTTTTCAAATGTTACCATTATTTAATGTTCCTGCCTAGATATCACAAGATTCATTGACAAGGCATCAGGCATTTTCTCATTGATAAACATTGTAGGAATGCATTTAATTTGGTTAGAGGTTTCCAGAATGGTGACCCCTGTACACATGACTTCTAATTTTTCTTCTCTAGGTTTTCCAACCTTATGCAAAGTGGTGGTTAGGCCCCTTACTGCAACTTGTTGTTTCTGGTGATAATGGAGGAGAAGGGATTCATTACATGGTGGTAGAGATAGTGGTCACCCTACTTTCCTGGACTAGCATTGCTACACCCAAAGTAAGGAAACAGGAATCTGTTGGTAACAATAATTTGATGCAAGATTTTGTATTTGTATTGGACATTAATGAAGACAGATATTTTTAGGAAGAGTTAAATTTGTCAGTTCTTCAGAAGAATCACCACTGGTAATTCATGTATAATAACTTTTAGAGTACCACTTGATTGTTGGTGCTTTTCTACTCCTCAAACATTAATCAGTACAATCAGTGGGCTTTCCAATTGTTTACGATATTGTGAAATTTAAAATGTGTGCATGGTTCATTAGATATTCAGAGAAAATATGGAATTATATTTGCTGCTCTCTCACACATACACCCCTTATTTATGCTGGATTTAGAATATCTTGGTGCTGTTAATATGAGATCTGATTATGTTAATACCTTTACATGGTTGAGACTCAAGTTTACTTTAAGCTCTTTAGAAACTGTATTTTGAAACAAAAATAAAAACTCTTGTTGGAAGTGAAATATTCACTCTGAGAAAATGATTTTTTCTCTATTGAAGCCTCAGTCTTAAGACAGAGTCAGTATGACAAAAATAGACTTAATTTTATTAACAGGAGATCAGTTTTAAAAGGTTATTGTTCAATTTGAATTGGTTAGTATCTCTTACCAGGAAGTTATAGCTAACGTTATCTTACAGCTAGCTTTCCCCTTTTCCTCTTTTCTTAATTTGGAAGGGTCTGCTATATATTTATCATGTCCAGCTAGGCCTACCTAAATGGATGTTATCTGTCAAGGCTGTAATTTGTTGCACATGTTGTTGGAACTCAGTTTGTTACTGTGTGCAGGACTGCACACTAACTTTGTACTATTATTTTAATTTACTTGAACCTTAAAGGCATAGATATTGTTGAAATCCATTAGAGGACTGCATTCATGGTCCATATCCTATTATGGACCAGCAACTAGTTTGACTACAGAAAGCAAAGTATGAGTAAATGGTACATTCTTTCAATGAAGGGATGTAAACAGTGGAGTATCAAAGGGAACTGAATTGAAAGTAGTGCTTTTTAACTTGTTCATAAATTATATATTAGTGACAATTTTTTTTTTAGATGGCAAAAACAAAAAGTGATTGCAAGGACTTCTGGAAGGTTCTCTCTAAACTGGGAGAGCTGTCAAAAGAAAGTTCTTGTGAAATGGAGGTGGAATGTAGATCTTTCCTTTCAAAAGTATGAAGAGAGGGAAGTGTGGAAAATGTGGAAGGAACTGAGAACATTCAGGGCATTACTGAATGTTAAAGGATCAACATCCCAAAATGAGAGCTACACTTCAGTGTAGCTTCAAACTCTGTAAATGGGGTTGGTTTTCCAGGTTTGGTTGACTGTGGATTCAGCAACCCCTACAGCAAGCCATCAGTAGTCAGGGTGGCTGGTTGCCTAAAAGCACTTCTCTGTGGAAGGCTACTTACCTAGGATGGTTAAGGTGTCATGCACATCCTGTCTGTATCTACTTGTCATGATGGTTATATATTACCTTCAGTATCCACGGCTTTTGTATACCAGTTATTGTGGGACATAAGCAGAAAGGTGCTGTTGCATTTATGTCATTTTTTGGAGCTTCCCACACACAACCTCGATTGTGTCATGTTTGAACTGAATGCTGTACTAGATAGGCCATTAGTGCAACCCATCAGGGTGATTGTTCAGTTCTTACAACACTGTTGCCTTTTTTCCCTTAAAGATTTTTGTTCTTCTAGACCCAGCCTTGGAAAAACTAGGAAATGCATTAAGTTGACCCTTCCTTTTTTTCTATGATTTCCTTGTTCTACTCCATGGAACAAGAAATAGGTTCACCAAGCAGTGTGTTTGTCTATGTTTGTCCCAGAATAATTTTTATTTTGATTTATGATGCAGTTTGAGAGTGAGCCCTTCATAGGATTCATTTTACAGCATGAGGGAAGGTTTCTCATGATGTTAATGCATTGTTCAGATGTGAAGTTGACTTACTTAGAAAAAATGTGAATTTAACTGGAAAAATTGGCTAGGTTGAACTTTGCCTATTTATCGTAAATTTACTTTGAGCTCATTTTTTCAGGAGAAATGGGAACTGTATCACCACAACTGGTTAATATGTGTTTGATGCGAGTATACTATTAAGTGTACCTAACAATTTTGTAATTTCTGCAAGTGATTTAGTCATGTCAGTTACCTGAACTATGCCAGTTATACTTTGAGTGCTGAATAATAGAGAGAAAATGTGAATAATAGAGAGAAAGTGTCATATGTATATGTAATCTATCAAGAAGTTCTTGTGTATATGTTGCTTTTGGATTCCTTCATTCTAGGGAAATATGAAGGATCAGGTCCTAGCTAACAGATTGCTCGAGTTCTTAATGAAGAATGCATTCCATCAGAAAAGAGCTGTGTTCAGACATAACCTAGAAATTATCAAGACAGTAGTAGAGTGCTGGAAGGACTGTCTCAGCATACCTTACAGGTAATAAATCTCAGTAAAGATAACAGTTTCACTATATAACTAGAGTTAATATTGAACTATGTCAAAGTTTATAGTTTGTGATCATAGAAGTAATCAAGTTGTTTGAAGGTTTGCTTTTCAAAGATAGTGGTAGCATTTGCAGATAGGTGAACTTGACTACTTCAGTTTTTTCTCAAGGTTTGCCAGTCTGTATGCTTCTATTTTTGATGCTATCCTTTTTGTTTGTTTGTTTTACTATAGGATCATATTTGAACAATTTTCTGGTGGAGATTTCAATACAAAAGACAACTCCGTGGGAATTCAGTTACTAGGAATTATTCTTGCTAATAACTTGCCTCCCTATGATGCAAAGTGTGAAATAGATAATCTGAGGTAACAAAAGTCATGTTCTCAAAATAAGTTTGTATTAAAAGTATATTGAACATAAAGAATATAACCAAAAGAAATGGAGATTGGAAACACTTGCATCTTAGATCAGAAGTGTAGTAATCTTCAGCAAAATGTATTCACAGAAAGCATGGCTCTGTCGCTTGCTTTTGAGAAGTAAATGGGCAAAATACTTTTAGGGACCACCAGTGACAGTTCTTCTGTCAGTTGGTTTCTATATCATTTTTATACTATATCATATAGTATTCTCTCCACAAAAGGTGTGTCTTTGATGTGAATTACTTCAGAGCAGATTTCCCCAGCATAACACCTTCTGATGCACCCCTTTGACTCCCTAAAATTTCAGCAGAAAATTTTATCTCTAATTTGAATCTGGATGTTAGTCATTCTGTATCAAAATGACAGTGGGACATTTCACATCAGCTTAGATCACATGATGCACCTGTGGCAGAGAAATTATGCAAAAGTTTTGCTCAGGTGGTTGTTTTAATTATTTTGAGGGCTGATATTCATATATTACTAGAGGTATTCAACCCTTTAAGTAGTTTATACTCTATGAATGCATGTTAAAATCCGAACAGGAAAATGTAGACATACAATGCTATATTAAAATTGGATTGTCTATGCAGAGAGGCAGAATGGTTTAATTTAAGAATTGAATTGAACATTTCAAGAAACTGTCAGCTAGTATAGTGTGCTGGTTAAAGTGTTGGGCTGGGGACCCGTGAGATCCAGGTTCTAGTCTCCATGAAGCTCACTGTGTGATTTTGGGCCAGTCACAGACTTTCAGCTCAACCTACCTCAAGTGTTTGTTTCAAGGAGAAAATGCAGCTTGGGTTCCTCACAAGAGAAAAAAGTAGGCTATAAATGTGATGCAGCAGCAGTAGCAACAGAAGATGTGTAAAGTGCATGCATTAGACTAGGGGTCCTCAAACGTTTTGAACGGGGCCAGTTGAAAGGTGCCAGCGATGTTTGTGGGGCACCAAGGCAGTGCGGGCGGGTGGCGCGTGCTTGCGCAGCAAGGCAGGGGCGTGCGTGCACAGAGATCGTTTTCTCTGAGTGAGTCCAAAATGATCTCCTTGTGAGCCAGCCGGTGCCTCACCGAGTGCAGGGAGAGGTGCCGTCTTGCGAGCAAGGCGATCGTTTTGGACTAGCTCGGAGAAAAGGATCTCCGAGCTAGTCCAAAATGATCTCCTTACAAGCAAGACGGCACCTCGCCATGTGTGTGTATGCGCACGTGGCGAGCTATGGCAGGCCGGATAAATGGGCATGGCGGGCCGGATCCAGCCCACGAGCCGTAGTTTCAGGACCCATGCATTAGACTCTTTGTAATCCATACTACTCAGTTTACAGATAAAATAGACATCAGAATGATTCTGCTTGATGCCTGTCTCATTGGGCAGGTTCACACAAACAAAACAAGCCACCAGGACCTGTGCCAGTTGCAGTTTGCATGAACAATGTGTATTACTCAGGAATCTGGTCCGGCCAAAGCCCTCCACTTTGGATTCAAGTGTACTGAGGAAGAAACAAGACCACTTCTGCAAAAGATAACAGGCAGTTTATTGAATACATACAGTTTATGTAGAACAAGCAAAAGACAGTTTATATCCCTGTTATCTGTAGCTTGTACTGGTTTCCTGAACACTCCAGGAGATGTTAAGTGGACTTCAAAGTTGCCTGGGTAAGCAGCAAATCAGGTCCTCTCCCCAAGCCAAGAAAGAGTGGGAAAAAAAGCACCTGCAAGAAGTTTTATAGATTCTTCACTCACTTCTCCAGAGGCTGTCAATAAGCCACAAGTTAACATGCTTTACCAGTGGGGGAGAAGGCAGGCTTCAATTAAAAACAAGAAACAAAACAAAACAAAATGGTTTCAGTTATCATAGCAAGAAATTTTTAATTAAGATATATAATTAGGGAAAGCAGCTTCTATGCAATTATCTATAATTTTCCTAACAGTCTGAAGGTTAAGGCCTTGGTGTAGGTCCAAGAAAGTATTCTTGCTTTTTGGATGCTGTGGAAGGTCATTGCATTGCCTGTTAACTTCTTGCCCTTCTTACAGTATATACTGTCCACCCATTGTGTCCAAACCTGGGAGTCATGTCTTGTTGGAGGGTTAAACAGTCCTCAGATAACAGTACAATAGCCTATGAGTTATTTGAGGATTGTTGAGCCCTCCAGCTAGCTATGTTGTCTGTGCCTGGATAATATGATAAGTCATACTCTGACATTGTTTTAGTGATGGTGGCTTAAACATGATTGTTTTAATCATGTGAACCTGACTGTCTCTGGCTGTCTCATGTAATAAACATTAAAATCCCATTCTGGTGAGTATCAAGGAAGATTTCTTCTTTATGGTAGATACTTCCAAGCTTTGACTAACAACTTGGCTGCAACCAGATACAAGGAAGTATATGCAGCTTCTGCTGAAGTATTGGGACTCATTCTTCAGTATTTTTCTCAGAAGGAAAACGTGAGTGCAATATACTATATTTCAAAGTTAATGGAAAAGTTTGTTTTCTAAGTGTATCGTGTATCATTTCATTTGTTAAGGTGGTATCTAATATAAGTGTTACAGAATTCTTTAAAAGCAGCATATTTTCTTTTGGCAAGCCACTGAATTTGAGTAGTATAACATTCACAGGGAGTGGGGAATTGAATAGAAAAATATCTCGGATTAAAAGTGTAGGGATTCTCACCAAAACTACTCCAGTCCATCACTTGTGTCTCCAGTAATGGCCAGCCAGATGCCCCTGAGAAGCTATGGTTGATATAGCCTTCTTTTTGCCTTCACTATATGGTAAGTAGAGGAGTCCTCCCTCTGAAATGAAGGTGCCATTACAGTCCTTCTAAGTGGAATATCCTTGTACTAAGAATCAGAATACATTGTGCAACTGTTACGACTTTGCTTAGTTAACTGATTTTTCAGCATAGCAAAAAGATGGAAGAAGCGATGGGAAAGCACAACAACGTTACTGAGGATAAAGATGATGTCATCTGGATCTCTTGAAAATAATATAAACGAGGCAGCGCATAGCATAGTAAAAGCCTTGTTTGGAAGCATCCTGAAATAGCTAGCTTTCATTAAAGTATTGAATTGTGGAAGAATGGCTGAGGTCGCTTACTGTCAACATGAGTAGTAATTATCACTAAAGATATTCTTAAATGTGTTGCGCTTTTGCCATTTGCAGATGTGTAATGGTATATTCAATTTTTCAGATATTTGAAGGTCCAATTTATGACTTAGTCATAAAGCAGCTAAAGAAGCATCAAAACACCCAAGATGACAAATTTATTGTGTGTCTGAACAAAGTGGTGAAGAACTTTCCTCCTCTTGCTGATAGGTATAATACCAGTATGAGCTGTCATATACCATATGCAGGGTTGGTTATGTAGCTGTATTGTAACATCTCATACTTTCTGATTCTTGGCCATGCAAAGGTTTATGAACACGATCTTCTTCTTGATACCAAAGCTTCATGGGGTGATGAAAACTTACTGCCTGGAAGTAATCCTGTGCCGTGCCCAAGAAATACCTGATCTGTACCTGCAGTTGAAGAGTAAGGAATTCATACAGGTCATGAGTCACAGGTAAAGAAGTACATAACTAGTCCACATTTATTTTCAGGCTCTTGTTTGTATTGCATGGTTGGGAAATTGAGCATGCCCCACTTAAGTAAATAGGAATTGTACAAAATGATCCCCTGGTTTGCATCTCATGGCAATGCTTCCCCAGTTGTTTATGTCAGCAGGAGTGGGTGGTCAGGAGTTATACTCTCATTCATGACTACTCAGGGTTAACTCCCACAGTTTGCTAAAGTGGGAGTGAGCAAGTTCTTGCTCCATAATTGCTCCCACTGCAGCTGGATGGAGCTAAACAACCCAGGGATGTGCCATTCCTAGGTTGTTAATTGAACCAGGAATTCTGCCTTGTGGGAGAGACAGTCTAGAATTTGAATGCATGGTTTATTCTTGGGTTATGATTCTGAATTATCTCTTCCATAATAACCCACAATTCTGAGTTCAAGCGTCACAGTTAGCAGCCCAGGAATGAAGTGCCCCTCGGCTGTTTATCTCTATTTGACTGCAGTGGGAATGTCTGGGAAACAAGAACTTGCTTGCTTGCTCACTCCGACTTCATTTGTAACAACCTGTGGTTTAATGAATTGAGAGTTGTTGTGATATGTAAACTGAGTCTCTAGTTTTCATTCTGGCACTTACAACAGGAGGAGTCTAACATTACCCTTTCTGTTTTGATAGGAGCAGATGACATTCCTAAGGGAAAGATTTTCCATAGTCAGTAAAAATAAACATTGAAAGTTTTCTTCTGCTGAACTTTCTCAGTACCTAAAATTATGCTTCTTATTGATATAGTGTAATTATTTTTAAGTTCAATTGAACTATGCATTTAAAAAGGGAACAAACATGTTAAGGGTAAAAGCATCTTCTGAAATTGAAATCAGTTTTCTAAATATTTAACTTTTTACATCTTGAACTTCAGAGAATAATGGAAGCAATGTTAATTCTCTCCTAGAGATGATGAAAGGCAGATGGTGTGCTTAGATATAGTATACAAAATGTTACCTAAGCTGAAAGCATCTGAAGCTCAAGCGCTTCTTCCAGCATTAAGAGGCTTCATCTCCCATCCTTCACCATTATGTCGGGGACGAATGTATGATATATTCATGTGGGTATATGATAATTACAGGTAAGGATTCAAACAAATTATTAGTATAAAGAAGATAAAGGCACAACAGCACAATTAAACAAGTAAAAAAATGAAACATGAACATGAGCACACATATCCAAAGGAAGGTATGGTAGGGAGGAAGTGACTAGGAGTTCTTCCCTACCTCCTCCCATGCAGAAGCTGTAACCCATCCTCATGTTTGCTTAGAGCCTTATGCAGGTACTGCTTGAGGAAACCCCAAAACTTCCAAAACCCAATCCAGTGAAGGAGTGCTTCTGTTGTCCATTCACCAAGCCTAAATGGTCCTCCATGTTACATTGTAAATACTCCTTGTAGAATTCTTTGTGGAAACAAAAAGCTTTTTCAAACTTCTTTTGGATGCCTACCTGGATACTCTCACTATCTTTCAGTCTTTAGGTTTTCAACTTGGATAGCTCTGCCCAAGGATAAAGCAATGGGAGAGCCAGAGTGGTACAGAGGTTAGGAGTGTGGGACTGGTACTCAGGAGGTCTGGGTGACCATGGGCCAGTCCCAGACTCTCAGCCCAACCTGCCTTAGAGAGCTGCTGTTGTGAGGATAAAAATGAGAGGAGGAGAAAAATTATGTAAGCTGTCGTGAGTTCCTTGGAAGGAAAAAATGGGATATAACTACAATAAATAAATGGATCCTGAAAGAGGAGATTCCTCTTTTAGATACTGAGCTGCATCTGCTACCCACTCAGTGGGAAGGATAGAGGGTCTGGATTAGAAGAAGCATAGCCTGAGCTGTTCAGGCTTACTGCCTAGGGTTGCTGCTTATCTCTGTTCCTCCTTAGAAGACTCAGGTAAGGAAATGGCAGCCCTGTGAGGGAAAAGGGTAGGAAAGCTTGTGAAAATAAGAAAAGAGACGTACAAGTTCAAGAGGAGGGCTTGCTGAGATAGCAGGAGATTGACATCATATAGCTTTTGGCTCTGGCCTCTTGGCAGAGCAGCAGAGGCACAGGCTGGGAGAGAGCGCTGAGTGGCCAGGGGACTGGCGAAGGCAAGGTAGGAGCTGGGCAGGGGAGCAGAGGGCCAGGAGCAGCAGAGAGGAAGGGCGTCATCCCTTGTCTGCGTCCCTTGTCTGCGGCCCGGGCTGTCCGGAGACTCCCTTCCCTGAGACACAGAGGTTTGATGTTTGTTTGTTTTTGTTTGTTTGTGCTGTGCTGTGCTTTGTTTTGTTTTTCTTCCAATTTAAGTTTATTTTATCCTTGTGTGTGTGTGTGAGTGGGTTTTTGTCTGGGAGAACTGGGCGAGTGAGAGGAACTGCAGGACAAACAAGGCAGGGGACCAAGGTAAGGTCTCGGAAGGGATACTGATGGCAGACCAGGAGATGGCCTTGGTGGGAGTCACGGGTGTTGCTGTCCGCTGCGAGAGCCGCAACATGTTCGCCCTTCTCCCCCAGGAAAGGCAGGGATACACTTGCCCTCGGTGCAAGATGGTGACCCTGCTAGAAGAGGAGGTGAGGTGCCTGAGGGCCAAGAGAGCTCTCCAGCCTCCCCCCCCCGGGAGCAGCCCCCCTCTGGACAGAGGGTTGAGGGAGAGACCACGGAAGGAGCAGCTGCAGAGACAAGGAGGCACGGCCGCCTCCTTCCTGGCACCAATCTGGAGCTGGGAAACAGGTTCTCTCCACTTGGGGAGGCTGGGGCTGATGATGCCTCAGGGGATGAGCAGGACCCCCAGCCTGGGACGTCAGGCGGCAAGGGGGCTGCTGCGGGAGAGGTGAGGGCCAGGGCACGGCTGCCCACCAGCACCGGGAAGGTACAGCGGTGGGTGATTGTTGTTGGGGACTCCCTGCTGAGGGGCACTGAGCCGGCAGTGTGCCGCCCCAACCTGGAGACAAGGGAGGTTTGCTGCCTGCCGGGCACACGCATCCGGCATGTGAAGGACAGAGTGGAGTATCTTGTTTGCGCCGGGGGTCACCAGCCGCTCCTGGTGATCCATGTGGGCACAAACGATGTGGCCAGGCAGGGTGTGGTTGGGACCACCAGGGACTTTGAGGCCTTGGGGAAGAAACTCAGGGAGCTGAAGGCCCAAGTGGCCTTCTCGTCAATCTTACCTGTCCGGGGATTTGGGCCAGGAAGGGACAGGAGGGCCTCTGAGGTGAACGACTGGCTTAGGGTGTGGTGCCAGAAGGAACGCTTCGGGTTCCTCGACTACGGCACTCGTTTTCTTGCCAATGGACTTCTGGCAAGGGACGGGTTACACCTCACGAGGATGGGGAAAATGTCCTTTGGAGATGCTCTAGCGAGCTTTGGAAGACTTTAAACTAAGCCGGGGGGTGGGTTCAGGCCCCCCAGTAACGTGTCTGCACTGGACAAGTGTGGGGGGAGGATCAGGGCTCTGGGAGCAGGGTTTTAGAGATACTGCAGGGACTGACAGGACTCCTACAGAGAGGGGCCAGGTATCAGGGAGGATGTGAGGAAGGAGGAGGCTGGAAACTCCAAGGAAAGGAAGCGGTGGGAAGGAGTTGAGGTGCATGTACATCAATGCTAGGAGCATGGGTAATAAGCAGGAAGAGCTAGAAGCTCTCCTGGGAATCTGGTGGGAATCACAGAAACTTGGTGGGATGAAAGGCAAGTCTGGAATGTGAACATAGAAGGGTATCACCTTTTTAGAAAGGACAGGAAGGGAAAGAGAGGTGGGGGCGTGGCTTTATACGTCAGGGAAGGGATAGGATGCAGTGAGATAGAATGCAGCACAGATGGGGATTCGGTAGAGGCAGTCTGGGTGAAACTTAGGGGTTTTGACAGGGAAGAGACCTGACAGTGGGGGTATGTTATTGCCCTCCAGGTCAACTTGAGACCCTGGATGATGTCCTGACAGACCAGATTCCAAGGATATCTCAGGAGAGAGACACAGTAATTATGGGAGATTTCAGTCTCCCGGATATTACTTGGGAGACTCACTCGGCAGTGACAGCCAGGTCACGTCGCTTCCTAGAAGCTATAGAGGGAGGGTTTTTCACACATAGGGTCTGAGAGGCGACGAGGGGGGGAAACATCCTTGACTTGATGTTGACCAAT